CAACAGCTGCGCAGGCCGTCGATATTCTCCATTAATTCGATTTATTGAGGAGCTTCTTTTGTCGGTCCCTTGGCAGACCACCAAAGAATGCAAAGAGGTGCTGCAGAACAAGGGCTCAGCTCAGTTCCTGCTAACGGGGTTTGGGGATCCCTCATGCGGGCGGGGTGAGGGAGTTGCGCTGCTGAAGCGTGGAAGCAGGAGTCGCAGCAGCAACAGCAGCAACCCACTTGCAGTGCAGCAGCAGCTTAGGAGGCATGCAGCAGGAGGCATTGCAGGTACAGTTGATGACTTGCGCAAGCTCGGCATGATGGAACTTAGAGCGAGGCTACTGCAGTACGGGCTAAGTGATGCGGTCATCAGGACCCTGCCCAGGTACTTCTACTGGAGAAGCTGTCGCTGCAGCAGAACGAGCAGGAGGAATAGCAGCAACAAAAAGAGTAGCCAGAGTGAAGGTAGCAGGAGTGGCAGAAGGAATACAACGGGATCTTTAGTGACAGCAGGTGATGCATTAGCAGCATTCGCACCAAAATGATGGATTTCATCAAGAGAAATGACAGTTTTGTATACCTATTGTTTATTATTCGTTACTACATAGGTGGGATCAAGTAGCCCTTGTGCGTCAGTACCGAGATGGATTTGGGGCTGAAGATGGGGGCAGCAAGGGTCGCGGCGCTGGTGTTCGACTACCTGCAGAAGAGTACGAAGCAAAGCTCAGCAGCATATTAAGAAAGCAGCAGGCGGCGTTAAGAGCGGATGAGCCCAATGTAACAGACACAGACGATGACATGCAGCCAGTCACACCCCAGCAGCAGCCGCAGCAGCAAGTGAATGCAGGCACAGTGGCAACGGCAGCAGCGGGGACAGGAGCTGCAGTGGGGAGTGCAGCAGCAGCGGCAGCAGCCGGGCAGAAGCACGGCACAGCAGGGGAGGATGTTGCAGACGCTCTTTTTGCTGGCTGTGAGGAATCTGACCATGAGGTGAAAGCCACTCCCTACACCCATTAGCTGAAGCTGACTAAACGCGGGCGATAGTTTGGCAAGTGGGGTTCACAGCTGTACGGCAGCAGCAACACAAGCACACGTCCAAACAGCCCGGCTTGTTTCTTTGTGAGGTAGAGTGTGTAAAGAATGCAGAGGGCCCTGGTGTCTAGGGTTCAGGGGGTGGGGTTAAAATGTCTTGCTTTGCTGCAGCAAGCAGATGAGACGGAACTTGAAATGAGAGAACTTCAGGTCCTGAGAGACCGCCAGGAGGCCCGGAGCCAGCGGCCAATGACACAGGAGGAGCAACTGCGGGCTGAAGCAACAGTAAACCTGGAACTCTAAATGCCGATTTATGAACTCTTCCGCATCGGTTGCCGCTGTTGCCTGAGCTTCCGGTAGTTTCTTCTTCATCACATTCTCAGTCACTACTTTGTGCATTCCATTCAGTATACCAAAAGCCTCTGCTTTGCACCTTCAAACTGTAAAAGTTGATTTGGGCTTTGTTTTTGTTGCAGGTGCGGGCTGTCCCCTGCCTTCGATGGACCCGAAAGAGGAGGCAGCAAGTAGGGGACACCTTTGCTTCAGATAGGTGCATATTGATTTATGGTGCTGAAAATATTAAGGCCTTCTTAGCATGGAGAGACCAAAGACTGGCCAAGAAACGACAGGTAGGGTCGAAAAGTAGTCCTCCAGGGTGCCGGAGGTACTAGACACATGGGTAGAAGGCTAATCGGGTAGAGGATAAACGCAAGAGCTGAGCTGAAGATCCGCACTTCTCGCCACCGCTGCGTGATAACTACAGAATCATGTTTTGATGCTTAAACTTCAAACGTCAAGATTTAAGTACGTGTCCCCCTCTCAGCGCCAAATGAGTGCCGTCCACTCAAAGGAGGCCCTTGCAGGCAAGCGAATCTGCAGAGCTTGTGGACGGCCCGGACACATCGCCTCAAACGTGGTACGTGATCATAGCTTACGATGTAGGGTTTGGGACTCGGGTTTCACAGCTCAGAAGAGAAGTCTGATACTCTACTCCTTCCAAGGTAGAGCTGTTGGATTGGGAGAATATGCCTGATTTAAAGAACTGATAGGGGATCTAAGAATTTGGACTGGAAGTTTTCAAAGGATAAGGGAGCTTCCGCGATAACTTAAACTTTGGTGTGTAGTAGACTATAGAACTTCGGATTCAGGCGTTAAGGCGGTTGTATTGAAGAGATCAAGAGACTGAGCCAACTCCACACTTGTCAACGTGTTCTTGCAATTAGGTACTGTGTGGTGGCAGGTGACCTCGCCTGCACGCATTTGATGAGGGCTTGTGCGTAGGGCTTTAGAATTTATGACTTGTGTCTTTCAGAATTGTCCGTTATACCGTGGCCCCAAACGTTTGGGGTCAACGTTGGGTGAGATGGTTGGAAAGCGGAAAAAGAGGCGAACAGCAGACAGCGACATAGATTTGAGTGTTGCAGCAGAGCTGGGCATGGAAGGCTCGCTGTGCAGCAGCAGCACAAGGCGAGGGCGCGGTGCTGCTGCTGCTGCCTCTGCTGTTGCTGGAGGTGCTGGCGCTTACAGTAGTGACAGCAGCGAAGGGGAAGGAGAGGAAGAAGAGGGCTTCGCTGCTTCTGGAGGAGCAGCAGCAGATGGGGATTCTTTTGACAGCGCAGATGGCGATGAACTTTACTCTGACAATGATTTAGAGCTGAACAGACATCCGAAGAGCGCGCTGTCAAGGTCTAGCCGGTCTCTAAGCGGTCGCAGGAGAGGCAACAGCAGGAGACAAGCAGCAGCAGAGAGAGCAGCTGCAGCAGCGGCGGCACAGCACCCTATTGATGCTCTCAATGTCTCATTTGCAAGGGTCGTGAATCTGCTGCTGCAGCAGCAAACGTTCAAGGTGTGCAAAGGTTAAGCCGCAAACTCCGGAGAAAAGCACTGAATACCAGGTTTTTCTGGGCGCGCCTGGTGCTTTAACTGTGCATTTGCTTTACTTGTTGCTGAGCCGTAAACTGTATTCGCTGTGTCCTGATGGGGCTCGCGTAGCTGGCCCCGCCACTCTTCCACCTTTGCCGTCTTTAGGAGGGTCAAGGGCTCCTGATCAAGTGGTTCTTTATACGGTGACAGGGTTTGGGGTTTGGGTTTGTGTGCAGCCTTTTGTTAGTCGCGTGGACGACCGTGTGGCGCCTGGCTACTCTACAGTGGTAAAACGACCGATGTTCTTACGTCGGATCTTGAGTAAATGCAGAGAGCGTCAGTACCATTCCCTGTCATCATTTAAGGAGGACATAGACTTGATCGTATCTAACTGCTTCCTCTTCAATCCGCCAGGCTCCCCTTCCGCATGGCTTAGAGACAGAGCCTTGCAACTGCAGCAGCTAGCTATGCAGCGCCTAGCGGACCAACCGGAAATTGCGGAGTACGAAGCAGCAATTGCGCAGAGCTCCTACTCTGTGCTGCAGCATCAGCAGTCGCAGTATCAGCAGTATCCATACCAGCGGCGACAGCAGTACCAGCAGCAGTACCAGCAGCAGCAGCTTCAAGGGTTTGGAATGGATGAAGACTGAAGTGTGCAGACACCGCAGCGTGGTGCTGCTGCAGACATTACCGCGGCAGCGTTACTTCATGGCTCTTTTTTTTCAAGATGAAGTGGAGTAACTGTGCATTCGCGCTCATGAGAGACACTGATAGCATAGCAACGGAAAGATTAGTAGTAGAAAGGGCAGCAGAAAATTGGAGGAATAGGGACAGACCCAAAGCGGGGCCCAGGAAAAATGCACGTAGGCATGGACGAGAAGGTAAACACATGAGGGGAAACAGGAATTGCAAATGTAGCTGCATAGGGAGCAACCCACAGTAACTTTTGCCCGGCATTTCTCGCGTCGTTTAGGAATATCATTCAACACTATCAGTTCAGATCAGTTCAACAGGTTCGCCTTATATCCAGAGCAGTCAAACTGGAGCTGACTGAGAAGGGCTCGGTCAAGACAGCGGCTCCAAATCGAGGGACGGTCACTGCAAATCTGTAATAGGACGACGATTTTAGCAGCAAACGTATTCATTTATAGGTATTATATGATATGGGGTTCTTCAGAGAATTGGAATTATCCCTATATGGGTAATTTTGAGTGCAGGAAGCCTCCAAAGAATCTGGTTACGTTCCGCGCTTTCACCGCGCGGGGGTGTCAATAGATGGTTCGTTTGATTTACATTTAATTGAACTAAAGTACTCAATAAACTTTTAACAATATTAAATAACCAATTGGTCTCGCTGTTAGCTTTCTAGTATCATGAGAGCTTCTCCTTCAGTTGCTGCCACTGAAACTAAGGAAGACGAACTGTCGGCACAGCCTGTGGCTTTGCCAGCTTTCTGTCGCTTCTGTGTCCTGTGAATGCATTTAGGATCATAGGATCACATTTTTTATAATTATCTGCTAAAGCAAAACAAAACAGTCCCCGTGAAGTCCCCGAACTCTCACACTCAACGACGGCACACAGCATGTGTCAGTGAGTGTTTGAGGTTGCTAAGCGAACTGCCTGTTCCCAGTACTTCGGTTAATTCTTCATTTGGGGCTTATATAGGCCTGACGAAATAGGCTCCCTTTAACCTTTTTGCCATGCTGTCTGCGTGGCGCTGCCGCGCTGTGGTTGGCTTGGTGTGGACTGTCGTGTTTGGTGTGTACATCATTCTGTGGTTATCTCTCTCCCCCTTCTACGGGGGGCTCCCGGCGTTTGCTTTCCTGTTCCCGAGGCCTCTTGTTGCCATTGTTGCAGCTTCTGGGGCTTTCGCTCTTTTCCTTGCAGCTGCACTTGCAACAGCTGGCGCCCTTATGACCTCTTCGGGGCTGCGGCAGCAAGAGGAGCACACTTGTAAATGCCACCTGTTTGTTGCAGAGAGGAAACATATAAGGTAAACTTCGAAAATCGGGACGCTAGGCGTTGTTGAGCGTATCACACTGCACACCCCTGCACAGCCAGACAAGGCCAGGCAAGCAAGCATAGGAACAGTGAAAGAACAAGAAGACCCACGCTGTAATGGCTCCTCCCACAGGCCTAACTGACGGGGCTATTGCTAAGCAGACCCCCAGTAGCCCCATTGGAGGCCCGACTGCGGCTGAAATCGCCCCCGTCGATCCTGTCGGCGGGCCCTCACTGGGCCCTAAGCGGCGGTTGTCTCACGCGGGCTCTGTTTCGGACACTTCAGGGGCGTCCACGTCCTCTGCAGGCTCCCCTGTAGCAGCCTGTGCTGCGAAGAGCCCTAAGCCTGTCAAGTATAGGTCCATATCATCCACAGATGTTCGTGAAGCACGTCCTGCTTCCACAGCAGCAGCAACAGCAAGATCGGGGGATGGGGAGGTGGTCGTGCTTGTGCGTCCGAAGTTGCGGGGCAAGATCCACTTGATGCTTCTGTTTCTGGCCCCTATTTGGACGCTGTTGCTGCTGAACGCTTGTAGGAGCCTCCTTAGTTTCGTTGCTGCTGCTGTCAGTTGCCTTTCGTTCCTCGCGAATTTTGCCGCAAGCGCGCTGCTGCACAGCGGAAGCTTTGGTCCCCAGTGGAGCTCTCTTTTTGTTAAACTGGATCATGCAGGTAAGAATTCAACTGTATTTACATTTAGGTCTGCTCGTTTTTATTCTTTACGTTTGCTGGGTTTTCTGGTCGATTAGTCTGCCCCCAGCTTGTAGCTAGGTCGGTTGGAAACATTTCTTTTCTAGCTTTTGCATATAGTGGTCATTTTTATCTTGCTCAGCATTTCGTTCAAAGAGGTTGTGCCGTGTTGTTGTTTCCTGCTTAGTCTGTTGTGCTGTTGTGTTCCTTTCCTAGTTGTTCTCTTTGCTTCCTGTTTATGTTTAGCCCATTGTATTTTTCATTTTATACACCGTGTGCCCGCGAGAGTTTCCGGCTATGGCGTAGAATTTAGGACTTTGTGTTTGTTTCAGGTATCTTTGTGGTTATCAGCAGTTGCACAACTCCCATTCCTCTCTTGCTGCTGGACTTTTGGCCCTCTGTGCTGCTCCTGTCTGTACAGGGCCTTGCAACACTCTACGGTAAGTCTGTGCACAAGTACATTTCTGCACGATTTAGTCTTCGTTTTCTTTTCATTGAGGTCGCTGAGCTTTTTTTGTTTTCCACAGTGGCTTGTGCTGCCCCCACATTTGTGGCGAGTTTCTTAACTAGGAGTACGGTTGATCCTTCCGTGTTCATTATTTCAGGCTTTTGGACCATCCTGTTCGGCAATTTGTCATCAGGAGCTCGCCAGCGCCGGGCCTTAACATATATATTGATAGGTTTACTGCATGCATGCTTCCTAAGGGTTTACATCTCAGTCTTAACCCTTAAGGAATTCAGCCTGGTTATATTTCTTGCTCTTTTTTATATTATAGGCGCTCTGGTGTATGGACACCAGTGGCCAGATCCCTTCCCATCTCTCTTCGGTTTCCATGAGCTCTTTCATCTGTTCTGCTGCATCAGTTTCGTGCTCACGCTGTGGCTTAATTACGAAGTCATCAGCAGAGCTGAAAGCAGTATGAAGAGCAGTAGCAGTTGAGGGATGCGGACGCATGGATGCATGCAAAAGTGCATACATGCATGCTTATTTTAGTGCGTGTATATATATATATATAATATGCATGCGCTCACCGCTAGGGAGGCGTAGAAGTGGAGGGCTGTCGATGCACTCAAAACTTGCTTGCATGCATGCGGATAGCTGCGCTGATTGAGCCTTCTGTTAATGTATTTTTATTGCCGAATTGGGTGTATTTTTATTTTTGCATCACTCCAGAATTTGCCTGCATAATCACTACAGAGCATTAGGATGAGCCGGCAACAAGAATTAACGCATCAGCGCAGTTTTACTAGTCTTTTCGTTATATTTTACTTTCATTGGCGGAAGTGAGAGGTCCTCCCTTCTCTGGAGGCTCCAGGTAACTAAACACCTGGCGTCCGCAAGTAAAACGCTCACTTCATCATTCCTATTGTTCCGACGGTTTCGGTTATTGTTGCTTCTTGTATAGCTGCTTTTCATGTTACGCTGCTGCTGTGGGTACTATGTAGCAGTGGCAGACAGTGGACCTGCACTAGGATTTTGGTGGGAGCGTTGCTTCCGCTAGTAGTGACGTCATTATTATTTGCTGATTCTCGAGGCATGTCTGTAGCGGAAATAAGGGGGCACAGGCAACACTGTTTATTTGCCTGAACTAGTTTACATGCTTACGGTGGTTCGACGCACTGCACCCAGGCAGCAACAAGGGGACACAGCGCGTGGCCGCTACTTCGGTTTGGAGCTTAGGGCTTGCGACTTCGGGTTCATGGTTTCCATTCCCGTTGTGCTGGTATGATGTTGCATTTTTGTCTCTACGGCGGAGGAGACTAGTAGCAGAATACGAATCTTGCATCAATGTGTAATACTGTTCATCTTATCTGGTAAATTACATCATAGCTGCATGGTAGTGATAGCAACGCAGTATCCATTTCTAGATTAGGCGACTGGATAGCGAGGGTCTGCTGCGAACAGTCGTTGGAGCGATGCTTGTTTGGACGAGTAGACTCTTGCTCAGAGGCATGTTGTAAATTGTAGGCAGCACCTCCGAAACCAGCAGCTGGCGTAATGGCCAAACAGCGAAAGAGAAAAGCAGGCCGTTAGGTGATGCCTTGGTTCGCGACCGACTGCGGTAGCTCACAGGCTCCAAGCATACAATTGCTCCCTATGGTATATATACATATATACCTATACTATTGCTCCTTATGGCGACTAGGCGCGGTCTTCTGTTCTCCGTCCCCATGAGTTCGCCACAGGCAACGGCAGGATGCGAACTTGAACGATTCGTGCCTGTTTTGAACACTGTTCAGCAGGCTGTCTGGTGGACGCGATGGTGAGCTGATACAAATTCCAGTAGGCTTTAGAGATTACTGCCGAAATCCAGGCATATCTGCTTCTATGCAGTCGTGTGGATAAGGGATATTCGTCGTCGGCAGGACTCTGAACACGGTGAGCCTTTAACTGCGTGGGCGTTGAGTACCGTGTGCTTCTTTTCCTTTTAAGGTGTTCGCAGAAGGTAACATTTCTGTAAGGAGAGTGAGAGCGTGAGCTTACGTCCTGCATGCTTCCCAGTGGGCTGTTTTGCGCACGGTCTTCTGGAATACAGGGTTCATATATGTATGACTGTACATCTTCTAGGTCGATCCTCTCTGGTGCCCCTCTGGTGACAGTTTGTTGAGATTCCCAAATCATATGTTTGGTCGCTCGAAAGCTTTGTAGCCGAAGCTCTGCTTTTTTATTTCCCCAGTTGACGTCCCGCACTCAAGCATGCTATTTCTCATAGAGTTTTAGCAAACCTAGCAGGAGCAGGCGAAGTCAGAATTCACGAAAGCTTGAACGCAGCTGTATCTTGCTATTCACAGAAGCCTTGAGTTACCGCTGTGAGTATTCCACTTCTCTTTGATACTGTAGGTAGCTTCCACCTTACGCGAGCTCCGCACTCAACTCAGATAACTATTGGTCTTTTTCCTCAGCCTCGTGACCTACCGTCGTGCTGGCCGTTTACGGAAGTTTTTTGACTAAGCTGTATTCTTTTTCCGTGCACTCAAAGACAATAACAAGCAACCATCCGAACGCTTCATTTTCGCCAGACAATATCATGATGCAGTAGGGCTTCCTCCACCAATGCTCACATTGTGGGAGGTTACACGGGAGTTCAGTTCTCCGTATAGATTGCAGCCAAGTTGAGTCGATGGGAATGGAATTCGTTAGCCAGGAATTGTACTGTTATCAGAGTAGCTATCTTTTCCTGTCTAAAATTGCTGCCGAATGCTGATTGGAAAGAATGCAAGGTGAAATTAGGTGCGGGCAAGTATCACACCAATCCAAATTCTAACTACAGTGCGTCCCAGTGAGGCAGTACAACGCGCAGTTTAAGTAAAAATGAGTCATTTGTTACTTTGAATTGCGTTGCGTAGGTGCCCACGGCAGGCAAAGGTTCACCAGAATTAGCTCCTACAATCAGAGTAATGCCTTTGATTACCTTCACAACACAGCGCCGCATTCAAGCTGCATACTGTCATAGTTTCACCCACTAAGGGGCAGCATTCACAACCCCTCATGTACAAAAGGAACGCCGAGCTCGAGCCCGTGTAGAGCCCGTGAGAAACTAGTCCTCCTCTCCCCGCACGAGGCTGCTCAAGAGTCTACTCGTGGTAAGAAGCCACGGTCCAAGCTTTTAAAGAGCGCCTCTACTTCAGCTTATAGGGTGGTAGCTAAATTTGACATGTGGCATCTGATATAGGAGGTTATGCGTGCAGGCTAAGCGGCCTGTAAGCTCCAGCGCAACAAGGGCCCGCCTTAGTAAAAAACGAAGGGAAGTAACTGCCGACAGGAGATGACAAGCGTAAACTTGGGGAGCTCCAAAAGGCGCGGAACATCGCAAGACACTAGAAAGCGGGCCGCCTGTTGGGAGGGTGCGATTACTTTGTGTGCCGGGCCTCCACCTCGAACGCTTGCTCCCTGGGACCCTACTCAACTTCGACATCGCCCCCGTAAGAACAATTCAGAAGAAAGATAATTACATTCAACATTAGCTGTATTAAATTGTTCAATCGCAACAGTTTCAAAACCCACTGTATTGCCGATTGTGCAGTGCACTTCCGTGCGATCAACTGTGAGGCTCGCGGAAAAAGTTCTCTGTAAATGTATGTTAAAGCTTTTTATTTTAATTCACGTAAAATTGAGCTCTTTTTACTCAAAACTGGGCTGGATACGTGCACATTGCGCTGTCTGTAGCTAGTTCCGGCGGCCGACCGCTACGCTGGGAGTTAAGTTCGGCAGTTCACAGAACAAACAGGGGAAATTGTGGCTCAAAGCACGATTGTTTGGTTTTTCCCTCCATAATGTGATGCTTTTTCTGTGTTCTGATTGTCACAGCCTGTGGCTCTTTGGAAGCGTTGCGGTGAAGGTAAGACGCTCTAGTTCAATTCCGAACTCCATCGCTGCATGGCTGTCTGACGTGCCCGCATGTTATGCACAAGCGCCAGGAGTTCTGCAAATTGCAAATTGAAGACAAACTGAGACTAGTCCTCCTTAATTTGAGGAAACCATTTTGAATTTCTTCCATTGAGGCGCTGTTGGGAGTGATATGCTCAATCAGACTGCGCAGTCCGCACACCAGCTGCGCCTGCCTGGTCCCGGGTTTGTTTCTTGACATTAGCCTGTATGAGATAGTAAGATACATCCGCATTCGAACGTTCCAAAAATGTTGATGCAGCTCAACCGACTGAAACAGGGCATCTGCCTTCCCCGAATTCTCGCCATACAACTGATCCTGCACGGATCAGTTGTAATTTGGAGAGAAGAGCTCATCAGAGCTCTTTTCCCCAAATTATAATGGCTTGTTTTCCTCATATGCCCTAAATATGCTTAAATTCGCCTTTCAAAAGCGGAGTTCAAGCTCCGTTGTGGTGCCTAGCACTGCAGCAACGCATTCCGTTGGGACCCCGGCTACCTTGCTAGCACGTGCCTTTCTTCATGTATGTGCCTCGGCCGTATAAACGCAGCGTACTGAGACTCAAGCATTAATGAAACCTTATCCCCGTGCATGATTTGCAACTGGATCGTGTAGATGCGACAGCGACGCCTGAGTTCACGCTTTTTGGGCGTCCCGCGTGACCGCAGGTGAGAGCTCCCCAGTAGGCCTACATAAATGGCTGGTGGCGCGAATGAACTCATTACATCATACGCTTATTGATAATTTTTTGAAGCGGAATGTAACTGATATACCTCACAAAGCTGTATTTCCCAGTGGAAACACCAAGCCAACCTGTTTGATCCACTGAGCGGCGCAGTGTGTACGAGACATGCGATGGTCATCCTGCAACTAGTGGAATGCTCGATTTCCCCCAGGGACGCAAACAAACTAAGTATACGCACTTGTTAAACAGAGCATTTGCAAGACAGAATCAAACGAAAGCTTGACCAGCTGGGCGTCGTAGTGAGGTGGGGAGAGCGCCCACTCGAAGCCCCGAGCCCACAAGACCATTCATCGTGATGCGCTCCTTATCAAGGGCAAGTAATTGGAGAAGATTCGACTGAGTCACGTCTATTCCTTGCCAATTTGTAATCGAATTTGTTCAGTAGTAATTTGACGATTTCGGCATCACGCCACTACAAGTTCCCGGTACTCAAAATGCCTGAGTGGGATGCTGTGCCGGTGGACCAGAGCTCCGAACCCGCAAGCGGTACATTTAATCCAACCACTGGTCTTATAAGCTCGCGGGCATTTGCTAGCACCCTTGAAAATGCTGTTCAGTCCCTTGATCCCGTCGATGTCGATGCCTACTGCTCGGATACCAGCACGAAGGTCCGGAGCGGCAGCTACTTCTCCCGGTCGCCCTTTATTTTCGCGTTATTCCTGGGCACTCTATTGGCAGCGGTTGTTGGTGCCAGTCTATTGCAGCCAGCCCTGTCTGGTCCAGCTAGACGAGACCTACAGCGGGCTTGGCAGGCTGTTAAAAGTAAGGATGCTCCTTGGGATTTGCCCACTCTGGACCAATATGAGCAACACCTTTCGCTATCTGAGACTAGAGGAAAGGCTCTCCTAGCAGCTGCCGCGAAGAAGCGGGGCGAAATCAGGTTTGCCTTCCCACGCGCTTTGGGCCAGAGCGCAATGGCCACCCTAGCTGAACAACTTTCTGGGGGCAGGACAACCAACTTGATTGGGCAGACATTGATACTCACTGACATTCAGCCGTTGGGATCAATGGAGATAGAGCAGGAGCCCCGGGAATACATAGTTTCAAAGTACCTGGGGGAAGGGGCATTATCAGTGGTAGTAGAGGTGATAGAGAAGCGCACGAATGAAACGAAGGCGCTGCGGCTGCACGCCATACCGCAGCATCTGGACTCGGTTTCTGTAACTCCTGAGCTAGCGGAGGAGGCTAGCCGCACTGCGTTGATTGAATCCACCACGGCCATGTTGCAGGCAGTAGGAACAACGCCTCTCACTGCAGCAGCGGAAGAGCGGGGACTGGCTCTGGTTTCCGCCGTCGCCAGGGTGCAAGGTGTACCATCTGTCTTACCTTGTGGCTCTTCCTACTTTGTGAATGAAGTGGAGATTGCTGATCGTTACTATGGCACCGTTGAGGGTCTGTTCAGTCCTACAACACGGTTGACAGAGGGCGCAAAGGTGTACGCAGGACGGCGGCTATTGTTGCAGGTGCTGCTACTGCAGCGTGCTGGCTGCAGCCATAACAACCTGAAGCTGCAGAATCTTTTCATGAACCTTGATGGCTCTTTCTTACTGGGCGACTTCGGAGCGGGAAGCCTTATTGGGGAGCCCCTGGACAGGGTGCGTGGAGTGACCCCAGCCTATGCTGAAAAGGAACTCTCCCTGGCGGCAACAGTCACTAGCCCGGACGCTCCTCCTGCCAGGGTGCATAGCAAGTCTGACTTGTGGGGTTTGGGGATGTGCCTCTACCAGATTTTCACTGGAGGTGAAATGCCGTATGGACTGGGCGGTGACTTACCTGCTTCTGAGATATTTGATTTTCTGGAGAAGAATAAAGTGAGAGCAGTAATACTTGACGCTCCCCTAACATCGGCAAGAGTACCCGCAAGGTGGAAGGATTTGATTATTAGGCTGCTAGAAGTCGAGAGGGAAAACAGGATTGGGACTGAACAATTAATCGAGGAATTCGCTGATTTGCTTCAACTCTAAGCATTGCGGAGCCGTCACGTGGCTGTGGCTGCTAGTTCTGCTGCCTTTGCTGATGCCTGTATTGGTGCTGCCGGTACTGGTATCAGTGCTCATGCTGGTAACGTGGATTACGCTATCACTGATGCTGTCTACGTTTCTGGCGACAGTTTTTGGGGTCGCTGCTGACGCTGCTCTTGATGCTGTTTGTGAAGTTCGGAATTCAGGAGGTGGGTGGAAGGGGGTGTCAGCCATACCTGGTTTTCAAACATGTGACTAAGCTGATACGGCTTTTCACATGTCAATAATCATGTTCAACAAATTGCCTATTATGTTCATCAAACTGTTAAACAGTTGGTGTTTTGACAACGATACACTTATTTCGTGCAGGAATTGGCTGCGTTGGGGCATGAGTTAAATCTGCAAAGGGAACGACAATCATTAGCGGCACATGAATTTGGCATGTTTCTTCTGGACAGAAAAAAGGGCCCTTCAGGAGCGATGCAGATATATATTTGTACTTAAGTATATCTGTCGCACCCGCTCATATACTTAGATGCATGTACATATACATATGTATCCATATATTTATAAACGTGCATTTATGGATGTGTTTTATTTGGACGCCGACAACGCAACCAACCTATGTACAGCGAGCTGAGGGTGAAACTCGTTTGGAACTGGTTTCCAACCCTATGAACCCACATGGACAGAACCGTGTAAAGGAATAGAAGTTTATGAATTCGCATGGTGTGTAGCGACTCACAGTTTGGGAAGTGAAGTATGCTATACTGTATAGTAAGGAATACGTGAAGCCCCGGGGTGTTAGTATTAGTTGGAGTCCAGAAGGCTGTGTAGAACATGTGGCGCAGCAGTTAAGGCGAAGCTAATTGGAGTTGTACTTAATTTAGCTCTTAGTGGGGTACGGTTAGGAGTCCAGAAGGTCCCACTTGGTGGTGCCTTTACTGACATTTTAGCACTTGCAAATCATGGGGGTTTCTAGAGAGGTAGTAGAGCGGATTGTGCCCTACATGTGTTGCCACACCAATGCAATGATGCGACGACCTGAAGTCACATAATCTATCGCGCACTATCGTTGGCATCGTTGCCAGTATGATTGTGGTGGTAATAATAGTATAGTTATTGCTATTATGGTTATGCGAATGTCATTAGTAAAGATTTGTAGTGTCGCCGTGGAGAGAAGAGTAGAGTGGAGAGTGTCTATGTATCACACGCTCAGGGTATGTGCCCATGGCTCCACTCCGGGCGCAGGAAACGAATAATCTGGTTGTCTGTTGAACTTCAAGATGTAGCTCCCACTCCGTGAAATGGAAGATTCAAGCCCTATGTCTATCATGCAGGAACTTTGAAACCCGACCTTTGCTGGGCTGAAGTCGACTCCCCTTCCCTCGCACGCGGCTCTCACGAGTTGGGACTCATAGAAGCTGGAACGCAAAATAATGTTTTGTCCTAAATGAAAGATAATATTGAAAACGTTTGCTGTTATTCATTAAAACCTCGACAGACCATGCATTAGTGCACACAGGTCTTTTTAACGATTGCTGTGGTATCGGGCGATTTCTACAGCACACCAGCATTTTGCGTGACTGAAGCCTAAATGTGAGCTCATTTGAGTGTTAATATAAATCAAATTGCGTATTTTGTGGACGTAATATTTAAAAAGTACATGAATGAGACGGTTTGCTAGTCGTTCCCTCATCAGTGAACAGGTTGCCAGAGAGTGGTGCATTGGATGCAAATCGACAACGATCGCCTCACGTCTCCTATGTCCTTCTTCAACGAAGTCATAGATCTGTATTAAAACGACAACTTACGCCAAAGCTGAGAAGTTTTGAGCTAGTTGATATGGGAATGCGCATCAACTCATTCCATTCTCAAATCCACATCAGTGGTCTCGACTGCGGGAAGCCGACAGTCAACCCCTCAGAGGGAGCAGCAGCAGTTTGCATTGATACCGCCCATTTAGAATACATATAGCACTCCAGGCTTTACGCTTTAACAAAGTTTATTCTGCACTGGATGTTAATGACAATTTTCCACTGTGTTTGTGGTGAATTAAGCCTCCAGAGCGGCAGCGCCAGCCACCAAACAGACGGTCATCGGAAGTGCAGAACTTCGTGCCCATGGAGGGCCTGTCGGCTACTGCCTTTAAGGCAGTGCCACCACCTGAAGATGATGAATTTGCCTACCAAATATCTTCAACCAATGGAGAAGCACAGGAAGCAGCCGACAATGCTGTCTTGATGGGCTCCCACCGTAGCCGAAAGCAGAGGCGGCGGGCGGATTCGCACTTGACTGTGGGTTTTAGTGTTTTGTTTTCAGGCTTGATCGCAGCTTTTCTAGCATCTCTTCTATTGGCTCGTCGCCAAGCTTCTTCCCGAGCGGACCTGTTCAGCGCGTGGCAGCACTTGGAGCCTCAAGAAGCGGCATGGCAGCTGCCCACTGTAGACCAGCAAGAAGTTGCGGTATTTCCTCGCCTGGCCATGGGAAGATGGCTGATGGCAGCTCTGGTAAAACACAAGCAGAGAGTTGATACTCAGCGGCGAGGCAGGTTGGGCCGGGAGGTAATGCTCACTCTTGCTGAACACCTCACGGATGGGAGGACAAGCAATGTGATGGGCGCCACGATCAACTTGGTAAACATGCAGCAGTTAGGTAGTCCTGACATTGACCCCACCCCACATCCTTATACCATAAAGCGCTACCTGTGGGAAGATGCTGAGTCCGTCACCTTGGAGATAGTAGATCAAGCAACGAATGTGTCGCATGCAATGCGGCTGCGCACCTTGCGCCCTCACGTCCAGGGTGAGGACGTGCCGCCAGAGACAGCGGAGGAACTGAACCAGCGGTCATTGGTGGAGACAACTACCTCTATGCTCCAGGCAGTGGGGAAGTCGGATCTGAAGGGCGCAGCAGAGGAAAGGGGTCTGGCCGTTGCAACTGCGGTTGCTACGATTGATAACGCCCCCACGGTCATGCGCGGCAGTACAGTCTACCTCTTGGGAGATGTGGAGATAGGCGAATTGCACAGCGGCCGTTTGAGTGACGTTTTTGCTTCGGAGAACGCGATGACTTTGGAGGCTAAGGAGTACGCAGCGAGCCGAATGCTGCTGCAGGTGTTGCTACTGCAACAAGCTGGCTTCAGCCACAATAACCTAAAGCTAGAGAACTTTTTCATGCGGGCAGACGGCTCTTTTCTGCTGGGAAACTTTGGCACTGGCACCCGCATAGGCGAGCGCCTAGACAGGGTCAGCTCCGTGGACCCGAGATATGCGGAAATGGAGCTAGGAGCCAATGCTGCAGCTGCTCAGGCTGAAGGGAAGGAAGCTCTCGCCAAGCCTATAGTCGGCGAGAAGTCGGATATGTGGAGCTTGGGTATCTGCCTATACAAAATATTCACAGGCGGCGATATGCCTTTCGGCCTGGACTCAGGAGAGCCTCTGGAATCCATCTTCTCGTCTCTGGATAAAGGTGGAGTGAGTTGGCAGTCGGTTAATGGTCGGCTGACAGAATTGGGGGTGCCTGCCAAGTGGCAGGAACTGATTGCGGGCCTCTTGGAGGTTGACAGAGACGAGAGACTGGATGCAGAAACAGTGTTTAGGGATTATCAGGAGCTGCTGCTCCTTCCGAGGCCCAGCAACGATTTTTAGTAAATGCAGTGTACCGATATTAGATGACACGTTCTCGTCGATGTGCAATTTGCGTTTGAATTTTGTAAAGTTCACGCGCGGCGAAGGTGAATTGCTTGCCTGTGACGATGTGCTTGCATCGGTGGATCATTTATTGCTTCTCCATGTAGTTAAGTTATTGGGCTGATGTAACTAGTAGAAAGTATCTTTTTTTGTTGGTTCTGCCCCACCAGTATAGCGGAATCCGGCGGGGCACGGCCCGAAATTAGTTCGGGGGACTTCTGTGTCAAGTTCAGAAGGCAGGACACCCACATCTTCCTTCGAGCTTCAGATTTTTTTATTTAATAAGTTCGGTACAGGTGTTTTAGCGGCAGAACGTTTCAGCGACAGTCAATCATAAAAAAGAGGAAGAGGGAGGAAACTCCGGGAAGGAAATACCAACATTTGTTACGCGACAGGATGTTTCCATAGAGAGCCTTCGGGACTAAGAAGTGCTGGTATTTCCTTCCATCGGCATATGTCATCCACGGCTTTCGCAGTTGTATCAAGTAGTAGTAATTCACAAACTACGTTATTATAGTTCTCGACACTCATTGTACTCACAAGCCAACTGGTTGCGCCGGAAATAGTTGCGCTGTTGGGGAACTGTAGTTCAACATCAGCAACTTTCCAAGAGCTGTAGATATCCCTTACCGCGTCGGGGTCCAGGATTGCATCCTGGGGCCCGACGCGGTAAGGGATGTGCCAAAGTACGTTACATCATAGTGAATACACCCTCTCACCTGTACGTACCGCAGTTCCCCGTTACTTGAATATATGCTCGAGGCATTTCTGTAGAGGCCTTGCAGCCCTACCATGTTGTAGGGCGGCTCACGTGGTACAAGCGTTGGGAGCATGTAACGCTTGCAGCTGAGTGTGCAACTAGCTGTAAAACTTGCGCAACAAGACAATTATGATGGGTGACTGAGAGAAGATGATGTGTATGTCCCTCCTCTAGCTTCAGACAAAGGCTATACTTTGGTCACTGCTCCTTGAAGCCTTAGAAGCTCTAGGCCCCTTCTATTGATTGCAGAACAGGATGTGGTCGTATTCTTCCAATGATTGTCATGTTACATGTATGCTCTCCAGCTCCGTCAATCGCTTTTCCCACTCCTAGCCTTCTTTCTCATTGCGACTGTTTGTCTAGTTCACTTCCCGGCTGGTATGGGCAATGCGTTGTAAACGTCGACGCCCCAAAGCGCTTATATCTCTCAGCGGTCACTATCCTATTTAAATACGTTTCCTGCTCATCTTACTAAGTTATCTTTGTGGCCGAAGGAACGTAGTCGTGCTGGAATAAGTGTTGAAAGACGAAGCCGAGCTGTGGCGTCCAGAGCCATTGGCCCAGTCACTTGTGAACGAGGAAAAATAAACAATCCAGAAAATTCAAAAACTGCATCGCTATTGACTTGGTTTTGAAGCTCTGGGGCAAACTGTTCACTGTTAATGCTGCGGCCTCTCGATCCATAGATCACGATGGCGTGAAAAGCATCGAGCATCGTGATCGTGATCGCTGGGCTGCTCACAGCGCACTCAGCACTTCAACTTGCTTGTCCTGGTTCCTCTGTCCACAATTGTTGCAAGCATTTTTACCTTTTTAAGTCAAGTCTCAATATCTTGCTATATTTCAAGCTCCAAGCAAGTCTTAAGAACTGAATACGAGTTGTTGCCAATGGAGAGTCCACCAGTCAGCTTCCCCGAGGCAGTGCCTGGCGAGTACTCCGAAAGTTCTAAGGCCCCTATAGAGAAGCCGAAGAATACAGTAACGAACGAAGCAGAGGGAGATGAAGGCAATGCTTTCTTCCTAAACGCGCGGCCTGGCCGACGGCAGCGGCGGCAAGTTGGCTCGCGCGTTGCTCTGGGTTTTGGCCTGATGTTTTCCGGACTTGTTGCAGCTATCCTATCTAGCCTGCTGTTGCGGCAGCGCCAAGCACGTCCCCGAGTCAACCTGTACGACGCATGGCAGCAGCTGGAGTCGCAGGAGGCGACGTGGCTGCTTCCTACTATAGACCAGCAAGAAGTAGCGGCTCACCCCCGCTTGGCCATGGGTAAATGGTTGCTTGCAGATGCAGTTAACTTTAGGCAAGCAGCTGACATGCAGTGGCGGGGCCCGCTAGGCCGGGAGTTAATGCTCGTTCTTGCTGAGCACCTCACGAAGGGAAGGTCAAGCAGTGTGATAGACGCCACCATCAACTTGGTAAACACGCAGCAGTTGGGTTATCCTGAAGTCGACCCAACCCCACGTCCTTATACGATAAAGCGCTATCTATATGAAGACAATGAGTCTGTTACCTTGGAGATAGTAGATAAAGCAACGAATTTGCCTTATGCCATGCGGCTGCGCACCGTGCAACCTCGCGTCCACGGTGAGGACGTGCTGCCAGAGACAGCGGAGGAACTGAACCAGCGGTCATTGGTGGAGAGCACTAGCGCTATGCTTCAGGCAGTTGGGGAGTCGGATCTGAGAGACGCAGCAGAGGAGAGGGGCTTGGCTGTTGCATCTGCCGTTGCAACGATCCAAGGCGTGCCCACGGTCATGCGCGGCAGTACTGTTTACCTGGTGGCTGACGTTGAGCTGAGTGAGGTTTACAGCGGTCGCTTGAGTGATATATTCGCAGCAGGGACTGCTACCTCTTTGGAGGTTAAGGAGTACGCTGGGAGCCGAATGCTGCTGCAGGTGTTGCAGTTGCAGCACGCCCGATTCAGCCACAACAATCTGAAGCTTGAAAACTTTTTAATGCGGCCAGACGGCTCTTTTCTGCTGGGAAACTTTGGAACTGGTACCCCCATAGGCGAGCGCCTAGACAGAGTCAGCGCTGTGGACCCAAAATATGCGGAGATGGAGCTAGGTGTTAACGCTGCAGCTGCTGAGGCTGAAGGGGAGGAAGATCTCGCCAAACCTGTAGTTGACGAGAAATCGGATATGTGGAGCTTGGGTGTTTGTCTATACAAAATATTCACAGACGGCGATATGCCTTTTGACCTGGCCTCAGAAGAGCCTGCTGCATCTGTCTTCGCGTTTTTGAAGGAACACCGAATGAGCGGGCAGTCGCTGCGTGGTCGGCTGACAGATTCGGGGGTGCCCCCCAGGTGGCAGGATCTAATTACAGGCCTCTTGGAAGTTGATAGAGACGACAGACTGGACGCAGAAAGGGTGTCCAGGGAGTTCCAGGATCTTCTACACCTGCGGGGTGTGTAGCCTTAAACATTGGGACGCAGTTCATAATGGCGACCTACTGGTATTTTATGGTCTTGCGATGGGAGCGTCAGCGTCACTGGCACGGTGGATGCTTAGGTGACACCAGTTTACTCTTCATTTACGAACCCACGAAACTTTGAAGGCCGTGGAAAGTGGCGGGGTGCGTGTGCAATGTGACTGCTTGTCCGGTGAGGATCCGCTCGAAATAGACAGTCATTTTATACATGGTATTTCGTTCAATTTCTTTGAATGCACATGTGTAGTCGCAAACACGTTTTACGTTTTTTCCACTTTGGCCATCGCTGGTTCTAAAGGGAAGGCTACAGGCCGAGAGGCTTTCCCGTTTGTGTGGAGAAACCATATTTCGTGAACTTCATGTAAAGTTTCAACGCAGTTTCGAGCTTGTCTTCTATCCAAACTAGTGGCCATTATGGAGTAGGGGCCATTGTGGAGTAGGATATCTATGGCTTCTCTAACTCGCTATCTTCTGCTACAGCTGTTCTTCGGCAGCCAGAAGCAGCTCCTTGTTGCCAGGTACTGAGTGCCAGATTTTTACATGATCTCCGCTGCTTACAGCTTCTCGCCGTTTAGGGTATAGGGGGTTGTTCGATACGAACCACCCCTTATACCCTAAACGGAGCAAGTAGCTCTGGGGGCCACACCCTTTCCCCGCTGAGATAGGCGACTCGCCTTTACACTTTTTGCCGAGAAAATGCTCATCTGCAGTGTGCCTGCGTGCACTGGAGGGCTTCCCCCACCGCTAAAGAAAGCCTGTATCCTGCTGCAGTTCTTTGGCAACGACTGACACATTGTTATGGCTGACCCCTTGACATGCAAGCAATTTCTATTCATTGGTTACTGATTAATTTTGGAACTAAATGGTGAGTTCCTAAGTGAGCATCCTCCATGTTCTTGCCGTCCCGCTGTCCTCTGTGTTGGTGGGGATTGCTCACCCCTGCATAATGGTAGACCATGGAGAACAAAAGAGTTTCCCAAAAAGGAGCAGTAATAAACCCTCAGAACTATATTACGGTGGCCATTTGTCTTGAAGGCTTCGAAGTCACCAAGGCTCTGTCCGAGACACAGGGGAACGGCGCCCCCAAACACGTAACAAAAAAAATTCATTTTTCCAACATACATTCCCAGCACTTTTAACTAGTTTAAGGTACTGATCACAGTTCAAATAAACTAAACGGGAGCGGAAGACACAAAGCGTGGGGCCCCGTCTGTAGCATCGCGTCTCTCGAACCATCGTGCCACAGGCAATAAAATTATGCTTTTTTGGCATTCCTTGACTCTAAATCTCGGCATTTTGCCTTTATTATTTTAATTCCGCTAATAACTGCATGAGGGGAGCATCGGAACTGCATAATTAAGCAAGTACACTTTCGGGGCGCACTGCTGCTTCCCGTTATCGATCTCCAGCTGCTTGCCGCGAAGCCAAACCAGTACGCAGCTCCGTGTGAACCAGTATCGTCAATCTTTTTATCCTCTTTTTCGAGTATTTTTGATTTTCAGACGGTTAATCTTTTTAGAGAGAGTTGTTGTTGGGCTTCCATTATCGCCTCTCCATTATGGCCGCTTCATTCGGTTCTCTTGGGGTGGTTGAGCAACCCGTTGGTGGACGGGAAGATGTCACGAGCGGTTTGAGGGTCAAGGGGTCACAAGTCAGCGTGAATCAGCTTGCAGACGACTCTGATCTAACTCAGAACGAAAAAGTCCTCCTTCGCATGAACGTGACGAGGCACAAGTACAGAAGATGGGGGAAGTACGGCCTCGCAGCAATATTCCTGGCGGGAGGTATGCTGTCAAGTGCATTTATTGGCTTTGTAATGCGCCACGGATCTGATGCCCTGTCAAGAAAGGCCTTATACGATAGCTGGGGGATAGCATCCCGCCAGGATTCGGCGTGGGAGTCTCCAACTCCGCAGCAGATGGATGACCGGCTAGACAAACTGGGCATGCTGGGCAAAGAGCTCACCGCGGTTGTTGCTAGCCGCACGGAGTATGACAATCGGCCTGTGCCACAGCCTAAGGGTAGAGAGGCAATGGAGGCCCTGGCGATGCATGTTTCTGGCGGCAAGACAAGCAATCTAATCGGCCAGACGGTGTATGTGAAGGACGTGCAAATACTAGGTTCCGATACGATTGGGAGGTCCCCTATTCCCTTGAAAGTTACCCGTTACCTGAGTGAAACCGATTCTACAGTGACCTTGGAGGTTACCGATGTGAACACGGGGAAACTATTAGCACTGAACCTGAACGTCCGCGACGTTCAACCGAACAACCCAGCGTCTGGCTGCGCAGCCAACTTGCTGGGTTCTCTACGGGTCATGCAGGAGACAACGGCTATCTTGCAGGCTGCGGGCTCCACTCCACTGGAGAAAGCAACTGCTGAGAGGGCATTGGATGTAATTGCTGGTGTTGGCACTTTGGAGGGGCTTCCCCCTGTGCTGGACTCCACGCACGTGCACCTGCTGAACACAGTGCACATCAGCGAGAGGCTCCGCGGGAGGTTGGCGGATATTTTCATCCCTGAGAACAGAATGCCGGATAATGCGAAGGAGTACGCGGCAAAGCGGATATTGCTGGCGGTGCTGCAGCTGCAGCGCGCTGGCTTCAGCCACAACAGACTGCACCTGGGGAACTTCCGCGTGAGGTTTGACGGGTCCTGCCTCTTGACTGGATTTGGGGCCGGGACTTTGATCGGAGAGGCACTTGACAGAGTGGAAACTGTTGACCCGCGCTATGCCGAGAGGGAACTGGGCGCTGCAGCAACGCGCAAGAGCAGCCTTGGGGCCTCGCATCCTGTTGTCGATGCCAAGACCGACTTGTGGGGACTGGGCATCACCCTCTACCAGCTCTTCACCGATGGGGAGCTGCCCTATGGCCTGCGGGATTCAGCGTCACCTGTGAAGACGCTGAACAGCCTTGCAGCTCAGGGGGTGCGGGCGTCGAGCTTGGAAAAGTCGCTGAGAATGGCGAAGGTGCCAGTAGAGTGGCAGCCGTTGATTATGGATCTGCTTGAGCTGGAGAGGAAAGACAGGATCGACATCGTGGGGCTCCTTTCAAAGTATAGCGTCCTGATCTATTCGTGAGCGTGTAGTGTGTCTGTGTGTGAACGAACTAGGCTTGCTGCCCTGGCAGCAGCGTAACGTGTATTGTTCATGTTTATATTCAGTGAACGGCACTTTTGTTTCGCAGTGGAACACTTGCTTTTGTTAAAGTGAACACAGTTGGAACATTTGTCAAAGTGAACACGGTGCGTCGCCGCACGTGTAGCTGTTAAGTATGCAGCGACAGCGTTACACAGAATGCAGCACCAACAGCCACCGGAGTTTCACGAAGGACTCACAGGTGAAGATGCATGTGTTTTGGGTATGAGAGTGGTCGTACTCATCCACACTGGACGGTCGTGCTTCGGTTGAAACTTGCCGAGTACGGCGGCCTCCCAGTTGCCAGCAAGAAGGGCAAGAAAACTCGTTCTGGAGCTTGCCAATTTGGAACAGAGCGGCCCGTGGAGAACCAAGCTTGGTAGTTATTTGTGCAATGCATTTACGCACAAAGCGGTGATAGTTCTGTACTGCAGTGGGCACTTAAACTGAAGCTCCGCGCAGCTGTGTACTAGCCGTAGCGAACTTCGATTCCGCACCTCCTAGTGATGTTACGGGACTGTTTCTTTTCCTCCGCGTCATAGTGCCTACGCGCGGGGCATTCAGTTTGGAAAGAGCTGTGCTGTTGCAGTGAGTAGTTCTGCAGCTACTTTCCGTAATCTGCAAGCACTAAAGAGTAACGGAGCAAGTGCCCACAGAGGACGGCGGCTCCCACTGCTCTCTCAACGAAAAAGCAAGGAATTAAAAAAAAAGCAACCCTGCTTGGCTCGCCATTGCGGTGCTAAGTTGTACAACGCCAGCACTGGGGATGGGGTGTAGTCAATGGTCAAAAATAAGATTCATTTCAATTGTCCAGATGACACTACTCTCGTAAGAAACGGAATGGGAGAACAGAGCTCTCTGGCGCTGACTAGAGAGAAGCGCCTCAGGCTCGCGCGTCCTGAAATGCAAGTCGCCTTATGAACAATATAGCAGATATCTTACGATTATGAAAATAAATTGATTTTACAATACTTCAACTGCATTAATCTTGTTTTTCAGTGTCAGGCTGACCCTTTTTCTCGTCTGCTGCCTCTTGCGAACAGTGTTTATCCCCGCACACGTGTTCCTCCCTTCGGCTTCGCTTTGCCCTCTTCTTCTTCTTGACTCTACGAACATTACCATTACTATCTATTTCGTCTTCGCTGCTGCTGCTGCTGCTGCTACTGCTGCTGCTTTCCCCGAAAGGCACGGGCTTATGGTATATGCAGCAGACTTTGCTGCTCTTCCTGCCCAAGTCTTCGTTATCGAGCGTACCCTCGACCCATGCGACCTGTTTCGGATGCTCTGTTGTTTCTTGCTGCTCCTGTGGCGTAGCTGCTGCCGATGCAGCCGGAGGCACAATGTGAATCACCGCAGGCGTGATGGTTTCGGTCCTCGTGTGGCTGGCCATTTTCGCCTTCAGTTGCACTCACAACGCGAGCACGAATCCGTGCACAGTTCAATATGGTGCGGCGACACTGTGGGCCCTTAGGAGCAGAGTGGACCTATGGGGAGGTTCTGTAGCTTTGGCGGCGTTGAGCAGAAGTAACTCTCAATATTCCTTCTGAAGGGTCAACTGCAACAGGGCAGCTCGCAGCGAGCGCCACGCACTAGCAGTAACGTCGATGGAAAGCCCGTTATCTTGAAGTCATTTTTCAGTATGCGGCACCTCTATAGCTGCTGAATGGCGTTTGCCTCAGCTCACTTTGGGCCAACTGCTGTTCAGCTCCGTCCAGGGAAATTGGGGGGTGCAGCTGGCTTTATGGGTCATCGAAGGCATATGAACCCCCGAATGAGTTCTTAAAAGCAGTCAAAAGTGGGAAGAAAGATGTGGAATACGCAGTGAGGAAGAAAAGATGGAAATCTCATCCGCTTTCAGTGCGAGCGAGAGGCGAGGCACGCTGCCGGCTTCATAAACAGGCGTATTTCACAAATTATTTGCGACTAGTGCTGCAAGATGACACTCTCTAACAAGTAAACAACATAAAGAAAGGAGAGGAAGTATGTGCAATTCCTCAAGAAAGGAGTAATACTCAGCAGTGCTAGGATGGGGGCGACATAGTGTAGCAGCAGCATTGGGGCCTCGGCAGCAGCGGGGTGTTACTGGGCAGAAACAAGGAAAGAGCTGGCCAGGAAAGAAGACGTGGGAATTTGCAAACAATTCCATTTAAGGGATTACAAGAGCAGCCCGCACACTCCCACTCTCTGTGGCTTGATGCCTGTGCCGTCTTGCATTTTCCGCGGAATCTTCAGGAGCCGTTTTCATTGAAGTAATAGAGCAATTAATTCACTAAGGAGGAAATACTGATCATAGTGCATCAAATACGCGCTGAAATACATCAGTGTTTTCTCCAGGGAATAAAGTAGATGACTCTTGCCCAAAAATTCAGATGTTCCCGACTGGGTTGCTGGGACTGCTTTTCTCGACGTTATTTCGGTTTTTAATCCATGAACAGCATTAAATTTCATATTCGATCGTCTCACAGAATTTAAACTGGACCAAGGGGAAGAATTCAGTGCTCTTTTTCCCACGTTTCACTAACTTCCAGCAGCTCACACGGCTTCAGTCGAAGGCCTACGGCTCTGTTGATTGTCGACGGGCCTCTCGGATCTCCTCACGACATCTGACGGCCTCTACCCGGAAATGGATGAAGACAGCAAGACGGCTGGAGGGTGAGGAGGATGTTTCTTGCCTTTCACCCCTCACAACAGCATAGCAGTGTTTCGGCCGTTGTTTTTCAGGATGTATGGCTGGGGCCTCTGAAGGCAGCAGCCAGATGCTGCCAGTGCAGTTTTCAGTTTTCCTTTATTGCCCTGGCGACCCCACTTGAAATTTTCAGCGCGTGTACTGCGGCTTTTCCCCTGAGGTAGCGTTGCAGGTTCGGGCGGTGTCTTGTGCACACAATTCTTGGGTGTGCTTTCACAGACAGGTGCTGCATTTAGACTTCCTGCTTTTGCTCCCTTGTACGGAGTTCCTCTCGCAGGTCTGCGAAGACCAGCAGCGCTGGCGTTCCTGCTGCTGCGTCTGCAGCAGCAGCAGCTGCTGCAGATGACTGGGAGGTGCCCGACAGAGCAGCTGGGGTTGCCCGCAACATGATGCTGATGCCTCTAAGGACTCGCCGGACCTGCGTCTTCATGGGTGAGGAGCATGAGGCGGCCATGCTTGAGGGTTCCTCTGATCAGAGCTGCGGCGCGCCCTCGGAGGAAGGAAGCGCAGAGTCGCAGCTGGACATTGCCCTTCTTCCTGCGTCTGCGCTGCCGGCCACCTCCCCGGGTGTACGTACACCTGAAGGCTCTGGCGTTTTGCACGAAAGAGCCTTGGGAGCCAACGCCACATGTGTTGCTTACGCTGTCAAGCCGGGGGTGGTTCGCGTGGTACGCGTGTTGGACCATCAGGCAATGCAAACTGCCTCTGTTTGTCGAGTAAGTTTATTTATTTCTCTTTTTGCATTATTAACTCGCTGTCTGCATATGTAAGTGCTGCATATCCCCCTCCTGTTCTAACTGTGCGCGCATGCACTACACAAGACTGTTGCATTCGTGTTTGTGTGGCTTTTTCGTCTTCTATGTCTCGCTGTTTTTCCGCAGAGTCTGTCTTCATCATTAGAGTTTGTGTTTTCAACTTTCTTCTCCGTTTCCTTCTCAGTTGCTGCTGCCCAGCCCCCCGCCGGAAGCGGCTTCCCCGCGCTCTGCAGTTCAGATTTCTCTGTGTCAGGAGAAGCCCAACTTGCTGCTGCTGACGGACAACTATGGCCTCATTGTCCTTTACAAGAAAAAGGCAGACACAACTTCCCCACAGGGGCCCCAGGGGCCCCACCCCCCTGCAGAAGCAGAGGGGGCCCCGTCGCCCTCCCCAGCGGGCGGGCCCGGGCACGCAGCCGACAGCGCGGAGCCTTTTGTGCAGCTGCAGCTGGACCTGCAGCAGCACGGGCCTTTGCTGGACGCTTTCTGGCTGCCCCCGCTGCAGCAGCAGCAGGAACTGCAGCAGGAGGGGCCAGGGGCTGCGGCAGCAGAAGCAGAAAAGACAGAGGGTGGCTGCTTCTTCGTGACAGTGCAGCGCCACAGAGTTGCTGTGTGGTCTTTGCCTTTGCTCCGTATCCTTGGGGTCACACTTAGACGAGAACTGCAGACAGAGCCCCTGACAGTGGGTGTTGCCTATTTGCCAATAAGCACATGCATGCATATTTATAGACAGCATATTTATATATATAATATATGTATATATATGTGTGTGGAGGCGCATATTGAATGTAGTGTTCAACATGCAAATATTTCAGTTTTCATGTTCACAAAACCACGTATTCCTGTGCACAAGTAAATCTCTGTAGCTAAGTAGCTTGTCTGTTCACGAAGTGCAGCAGCAGCAGCAGCAGCAGCAAGCAGCAGCAGCAGCAGCTGCAGTAGTAGTAGGGGTGGTGGGCGTACCTGCAGCGATAATGAAGGCTGCCGCTGTGTATTGTGGCGCTGCTGCAGGCAGAGGAGGCGGAGGCTGCGGACTGCTGCTGCTGTGTGTTGCCACTTGAGGAAGCACTAGCAGCACAGGCTGCACATGACCCTTTCAGTGTAGGCAGCAGCAGAGAGAGACCAGTAGTTTGCTCCGTTTGCTGCGCTTCAAGAGAGGGCTCCTTACTAGTTGGCCTTGGGGGGAAAGTTGTGACAGCGTGGCACCTCAAGGTAAGGAGGGTTCAGGTGTCTGTACACCTCAGTCCTTCACCTGCCTATTTTGTTCTTGCAGCTGCATGAGAACTGCAAAAGAAAGCTGGACTTAACAGCGTATGTCCATACGAGCGCGGATGCGTATGCTTCTGGGGATTCTGTTTCTTTGGACTTGCTACCCTGTTGCTGCATATTTGCAACAAGTGGTGCATCTCTTCCGGGTCTTGTGTTGCTGCTGCTGTGCTGCTGCGTTGCTGCTGCGCTGCTGCTGCAGGTGCACCAAAACGGCCTTCGGGGCGCCACGCTTCTCGGTGCTGTGCAGCTGCCAGCGGGGCCTGATGAGGCTGCTGCGCCTGCAGAATCTGCTGCAGCTGCGGCCCAGCAGCAGCAGCAGCAAGCTGCAGCAAACACCAATCCTTTTTTCTCGTATTTTGGCTCTCTTGACCCGACGAGCATCATCATGCGCAACAAAGAGCAGCAGCAGCAGGAGCAGCAGCACAAGCAGAAGCAGCAGGACAAAGTGGCGGACCACTTCCAGCTGCTAGTTGTTTACGTCAAAGGACCCGCAACTACTACAGAGTCCACGCCGCATTTGGTGGTTTGCTCAAAGGCTTCATTTTACGCGCAAATATTCCCTATTTACATCAGAGAGCTGCTGCAGCAGCAGCGGCACCACCAGCAGCAGCAGCGGCATTCTCTTCTAGGGCCGTGCCAGCAGACGCTGTGCTTCGGCTCGCCTAAGGATATTGCCGCCACCCACAGCAGCAGCAGCAGCAGCAGCAGTAGCAGCAGCAGCAGCAGCAGCGTTTTAGACCTTCGCGCCTGGCCGATGACGGACTTCACGCAGCGCTTTCTTGTCGTCGGCATTGTAAAGAAGCAGCAGGAGGGAACTCGTTCTTATCTTTGTGTATTTGACACGCAGCAGCACAAACAAAACCAGCAGCAGCAGCTGCTGCCGCTTTCTAGCGTGCTGCTGATACGGCTGCAGATACCCCTCGTGAGTCTGGGTGCTGCTGTCCTCACGGGGGCCCCAGCAGCAGCAGACACGCAGCGGGTAGGGGCCTCGGGAAGTGCTGCAGCACTGTACTGCTACTGTGTCTTTGTGGCAGACCAGGACAAACATTTGTTGCAGCAGCAGCAGCAGCAGCAGCAGCAGAGGCCAGATCTGCTTAGAGTGCATTACATTGAGTGCGCAAAGCTTGCCGCAGCAGAGGACAAAGTCCAGTGGCGCCAGCTGCAAAGGCCTGCTGCTGCAGTCGCAGCAGCAGAAACAGCAGCAGCAACAAAGGTCAATATAGCCGATAAGTCGGCTGCAGCACCATCAGAGGCAGCTGCACAGCCATCAACGGACGGCGATAAGACAGCAGCACCAGCAGTACCTGCTGCTGCTGCTGCTGCTGCTGCTGATGGCCCGGTAAGGGAACCTGCGGGCCACAGCAGCAGCTCTTTAGCTAAAGAGGCAACATCTGGGGAAGAGGAGTCGCGGCTAGCTGCTGCTGCTGCTGCTGCAGAAGCCTCTGGGCCGTCGAGGCCTGCAGCTGAGGCCGGAGCGCCAGCTGCTGCAGCAGAAGCTCCTGCCCCGCCAAAGTCTACAGCTGATGCCGGAACAGCAGCAGCAGCTGCTGCTGCTGCTCCTGCTGACCCGGCAATTATTATTGCCCTTCCTGGGCCTCCCGCAGCAGCAGCAGCAGCTGCAACGGGAGCAGCCACATCACCAGCAGCTGCTGCAACAGCAGCAGACAGGGAGTCTGCATCAAACGGGCTGCTGCAGCTGCTGCTGGGCGGAAGCAAGGGAGCCAAGAATAAAGGCAAGAGCAGCAGCAGCGGCGGCAGCAACAACGAAGATTTCGCTGCTGCTTCTGCCTCGAGCAGCAGAGGCCGATCCCCTTCTGCAGCATCAACTCCGTTAGCAGCTGAGAGGACAGGCAGCAGCCCCCGCCTTGCTGCTCCTGCTGCTGCTGCTGGTACTCCTGCTGCAGCTGGGACAGGCAAGGGCCGCAACAGCCCCAGAGGAGCAGCAGCTGCAGAAGGTTCTTGCGGCTCCCTGTCACCACGCGAGTCACCTGCTGCTGCTGCTGCTGCTGCAGCAGATGCTCCGACTGAAAAGACAAAGTCGCCCGCAGCAGCAGCCGCAACAGAAGCGGCAACTGCAGCAGCAAAGTCCAAACAAGATCTCGCACAGAATCAAGGTCAGCCTGGGGGACGCAGGAGGGGGAAGCAGCAGCAGCAGCAGCAGCAGCAGCAGCAGCAGCAGCTTCCTGCTGGCTCGACGTCACCTTGTTTAGAACCTGCAGCGGACTCGCTACCGCAGCAGCAATCCTCTGCGGGAGGTGCAAAGACAGCTTCTGGCAGTGGAGTTACCAAGGTGAGCAGCAGCAGCAGCAGCAGCAGCAGCAGCAGCAGCAGCAGCAGCAGTTTGCTGGTTTGCCCTCTGCTTCGTTTCAGTTACCCGGCTTTTGTTCTTTCGTTTTGCTGCTGCAGCCTACAACAGACAAGAAAGGATCGAAGCCAAGGGAGCCCTGTAAGCTTTGCTGCCATTCTTGCCGCTGCTGTTTCTCTTCTTGCTGCTGCTTCACCTGTCACTGTTGCTGTTCCTGCTGCAGCTACGCTGCGGCTGTTGCTGCTGCAGCTGCCCCTGCGCCTGCTTGCGCTGCTGCTGCTCCGCTGCATGTGCCCACGCATAGTGCGCTGTGTGCCGTTGCTGTTGCAGCAGCAGCAGCAGCAGCAGCAGCAGATGGTGCCTCCGATGCCTCAGGGCAACCGAGTGCAAGCAGCCCACTGACGTATGGCGCTGTTGAGTCCTTGTTGTCCAAAGTCATGGAAGACCTTCCCCAGAAAATTTCAGTATGCTGCAGTTGCGGTTGCTGCTGCTGCAGCTGCTGCTGTTGCTGCTGCTGGTGTATGTGTTGCTGCTGATGCTGATAAGGTGATGCTGATGCTGCTGTTGCTGCAGCAGCTGTTGGAGCTGCTTAGGCGCAGCTTTCTGTTGCTGTTGCTGCGGATTAGCAATTGCTGCGTCACCTGCCCCGTTCCTTCAGCTTCTGCTGCTGCTTCTGCTGCTGCTGTTGTCCAGGCCAGCACCACAACAACCACCCGCTCCAACTTTTCCTTTGCATGCGACAAGCAGCAGCAGCAGCAGCAGCGCCTGGCATGTTTGATCGCAGAGGAAGTGCAGCGGCTGTTTTCTGCCCAGCTTCAGGCGGCAGTGCGAGACGCATGCGAAACAGCAAAACTAGCAGCAGTGAGAGCAGCACCACGCATGCAGTGCTTCTGCTGCTGCTCTTGTTGCTGCTGCTCTTGTTGCTGCTGCTCTTGCTCTTGCTGCTCCATTGTTTAGCCTACGGTGATGCTACAATTGGATATTCGTGTATTTCTGCATGTCCTGCTGCTGCTGCTGCTGCTAATTTTTCACTTTTGATTCGTGTTTTCTCTTATTCTTTCGGTGTGCTTCATGCTGCTGCTTCGTGCAGATGCCGGCTGGCCAAGAGGGTTCATCTCTTGCTGCAAAAGCAGTGCAGCAGCAGCAAGACATGCTGCAGCAGATGCAGCAGCTACAGTATCAGATGTCTAGGGAGCTGGATGAGCACCTGAAGCACCAGTTGAAGTCTATAAGCAAGGCGTTTGAGGAGCAGCAACGGCAGCTACAGCAACATGTGCAGCAGCAGCTGCAGCAGCAGATGCTGCACCACCAACAACAAATACAGCAACTTCATCACCAGATGCAGCAACAGCACCAGATGCAGCAGCAAACTGTGCGGTTGCTGCAGCTGCTGCAGCAGCAGCAACAACAACAGCGGTCATCTTCTACAGAGGAACATGTGGGCGGGAAGATGCTTGAGGCTTTTGAGAAAATATTGAAGACCCAAGAGGGAGTCATGCTCAAGGTAGAGGTTATTTTCGATTTTATGCAATCTTTTTGTCTTTTTTGTCATTATACTTTTTCTTTCTTGTATACATCTCTTAACTTGCATAGTGCACCTTTTTGCAACTCATTCAAGAACACCTGTGTCTGGGGTTTACTGCTTAGGGTTTATGTCCCAATTTATGGTTTAGAATACAGGGTTTAGGGTTTGAGGTGTCTGAGGTTTACTGCTTAGGGTTTGCGTCCCAAAATTATGGTTTAGAATACAGGGTTTAGGGTTTGAGGTGTCTGTTCAGAGTCTGGACTCCACCGAAAAGTCCATTGGGCGGCTGCGGCTGCAGCTTCGCGACATGCAAGAGGACATGAAGCAAAGCAGAGCAGTGCAGCAACAGCAGCAACAGCAACAGCAGCAGCAGCAACAGCAGCAACAGCAACAGCAGCAGTTTCTGTTATCCCTGCAGCAGCAGCAGCAACAGCAACAGCAGCAGCAGCAGCAACAGCAGCAGCTGCTTCTGCAGCAGCAGCAGCAATTGCTGTCTCAACTGGGCTCCGTATCCAGTCAAATTTCCAGCATTTCCTCCTCAGGCCCAAGCTCCTTGCGCCCGGTTGAAAAGGCAGGAGCAGCAGCCGCCACCGCCGATGGGGGCGTATCTGGGCCACCTGCCGCTGCTGCTGTTGCTGCAGCAGCTGCAGCAGCTGCAGCAGCAGAGCGCGAGACCTCAGCTCAGTTCGCAGCAAGGCTGAAATTGGCAATAAGGGAGGACAGAATAGATGAGGCTTTCGGCCTGGCCATTTCTGCGGATTTGGAAAAAGACACGCAGGGCTTTTGGCTCAACTTTATTTGTAAAGATTTAAACCCTGACGATCTGTTTGAAGCTGAGCCTCCACCACTGGGGCAGGCGGCACTTCTGGGTATCGGGAAAGGTAGGGATTACTTCTTTTGCTGCTGCTGCTGCTGCTGCTGCTGCTGCTGCTGCTGCTGCCCGTATGTGGTGCTGCCACAGTGGTGCTTCTGCCGAGGTCACCAGTGCAGCGGATGGTTTCGCTGCTGCTTCCGCCGTTGCTGCTGCTGATCGCTGCAGTGTCTTGTTTGCTGCTTCTACTCGTGTGTGTGTCTATCCTTTTAATATGTGTACTTTGTGTTTCCAAGTCTGTATATTTGTGTGCAGATGGGTTTGTCTGACACTTCTGCATGCACAAGTTTGGCTGCGTTTGCGGATTTGTTTCTTACTATGAGTAGCAGTGTTACCACTACAACGCTGCTTAGTTCTCGTTTCCTCCATACTTGCTTTTCTCGCTAACTGGTGGGCTATGTGGAGCTCATGGGTGTTTTCTTTTTCTATTTCTTTCAGTTTTGTCGGATTGTTTGGCTCAAGAAGTGGAAACGAAACAATTGAGTGAATTGCAGCAAAGGGCTCAGTGGCTGACTGTTGCCTTCACTCAGCTGGACGCTCCTTCTAAGCACATTGCAGAAGAGGACTTTCTCGAGGTAGGCAGGCCTTTTTCTAGCATTTGTTTGTACTTTTAATGTCTTCTTTACACTTGTATTCTTTTAATGTCTTTCTTTACACTTGTATTCTATTTTCGTGGGGTTTTACTGCCACATTTTTGTGCTTCTGTGCCCGCCCATGCAGTTGTCTCAAGCAGTGCCAGCCCAGACTTCATGCGACATCAAATAGCCATTAGCTGCGCCATTTCAAACTTAACTTATTATTTACAACTAGACACTTTGTGCCTTGAGGCGTACATACACTTGAGCTGTTGTGCAAGTTCTGGACCCACTCACCCACCTGCTCAGCAGGTTTCGATCACCAGGATTCTGGAACGATTAGCTGAGAGTCCACTTTGGTTTATTTTGTAATAGCTGACAGTCCACTTTGGTTTATTTTGTAGTAGCTGAGAGTCCACTTTTGTTTATTTTGTATTTATGTCCGCTTCAGCTGCTGCACGAATACAAATCTCACTTAAGAAAGGCCCTAGCGGCCGTCCGCCTGCGGTTCAAGGGGGAAGCAGAAGTGCTGCAGGAAAGAATCAACATGTGTTTGAAGCAGCTGAAGAGGTGAGACAAATGGGCCACTTGTGCAGCCAGATTAGGCGAAGTATATTTCTGCACAGAATAGGTAGGCTTAGGCCTAAATATATGCACAGCAAAGAGGCGAACAGCCTGCGCAAAGTGCAGCAAGATGCAACAGTAAATATCAAAGTCTACAAGCACATATAACAGCCTGAAGCCGGACTAAATAGTGCTCCTGTGACTCAGGATAAATTGACTCTACTTGTGTTCACATTATTGTGCTTTCCTTGCGTCTTTCCAACTAGCTCTTGTGTAGATGATCCTGTTCCCAGCCAGAATGCTAAACAGTTAGGCGTCCGCGTATTCGTCTTCATGTCATATTTTTGTTGAATTCATTTTATTTTTCAACTTAGTTGTTGTTGAATTCATTTTATTTTTCAACTTAGTTGTTTTTTGTTTCATTCAGGCTCACGCGCTCCATGCAGCTCTCCATTTCCCCAGAGAGGAGTTGAGTCAAGTTACAGCAAAGGCGATTTTTGTTCCTATTCTTATCTTTCAACTATTTTTTTCATTTGTGTTTCTTTCATTCTTGAATTCGCTGCTTCCTCTCTTTGATTTCTTTTCGTTTCTTCCTTTCTGTCTTGGCCGCTCTCTTCTTTCTATCTTGGGTCCTTGTGAAATGTGCTGCCTGATGGCTGCTGCGTGCAGCATTAACAAGAACTTTCTTTTTCTTCTTTTTCCGTATTCTCCGCGTTTTTGTCTTTGGACTTTTTCTTCTTTTTCCGTTTTCTCCGCGTTTTTGTCTTTGGACTTTTTATTTAGATTTCCTTCCCGCAGCCACTGTCGGGCTCTGCCTCTTCCCTCCTTTTTGCCTCTTTCACTCTCCAGTTGTTGCCTTTGTTGCTTTTCTTTCACTTCTGATTCTGCTGCCACTTTCTGTTTCTGCCTTTGCGTCTTCGGACTCTTTTCTTGCGAAAGCGAAAACCCTAAACCCTCGTTTTCGAGGGAGAGTGCTTAGGAGGTTTCAAAAAACACCAGATCGCGGGCCTAAACCCTCGGCCTTTCGTTTGATTCTTTGCAATCTGTTGCTGCAGTAGTTTGTCTTAAAGACAAAGCAGTTCCTTCACAGCAATTAGCCCAACGCAGCAGTGTGGGCGCGCCGCACATCTTGCATTCACTGCGTCCGTACAAAGTAGTTCCTTCGTTTTATTTCATTTATTCATCAAGTTCGCTAATGAACAAGTTTTATTTATTACTTTATTATTGCTTTTCAAGTCTCGAATTTTTCTTTCGTAGATAGAGCTTTCCCTCATGAGATGGCTCTCAGAGGCAGCAAGCAGCTCTTCGGTCCTCCTCTTGGGACTTAGTGCTAGCATTTTTTTGCAGATTTATTTATGCTGATTTCCATGTTTATTATTGCAATTCAAAACAGAACAAAGGATGCCTAGACGGGGCTGGGACTGAAGTTTCGCACTTGCTGCGCGTGGCGAGTTTCTGTGTGGGCCGTCAGACTCAGTCGCAGGGTAGATTTAGGCCGGCTTAATAGGGAAGAACATCAATTGGAGATGAATAATGTGGAATAATTGCGAGAGATTGGGGAAAAAGGCGTGGGAATGAAAGCTTGTACGCGAATTCGTGCCCGATTGGCTGTTGGCACTCGCAAACGCGGGAATGCCGTGAAAGGGGAAAAGCTTTCGCAGCAAACTGCGCAAAGAGTGCAGTTTCCAACAAATTGCACATGTTGAAAGCGAAACATTGGAAGCAGTTTGGCCATTATGGCTCAGCTTGCAGGTCAGCTGGCGGCGAGCGCGCTGCAGACGACAGGAGGCCGGCGGTAGTGGGACCACCGCCGGAATTCTTTCTGTCTGCTCCCTTTGGGAAAAATAAATTAAGCTCCCAGGTTGAATTAAAGAGAAAGGAAGAAGCTTTGCAAATTAATTGCGCAAAAGGTCCCGGCTTCGGGTGGTTTGACAGTCGGGCAGCGGCGTCGGCTGCAGGGCTGCTGACCGGTCCGCGCAGTGACTAGCTGAGGCTTCAGCCCGGCGCGTTGTTCTCTTGTTTGAACTCTGCAAGAACTTTTGCTGAAAACCCTTTTATTTAAAATTACGGAAACAGCCGGGATCACTTCTCTGTTTCGCATTTCAAGTACAACAGCAGAGGCTGGCGCGGTGGCAGTCTGTGTTCGCGCCGCAGCCGTCGGACTGAGACCGCTGGAAGTCGATCATTGGAATTCTCGAGTTCTTCGACGAACCTGCGATAAATCGGCACATTTTGAAGTTTATTTTTGACCTAGGGTTTGTTTTTTGCCGTAAAATCCGCCACAATGGCTGTTCCTGCTCTGGGTTTCGCAAGCCGCCGGGTCCGCCCGGTGGCCTTGGCCGCGGCGATCTTGGCGAGTTTGCTGGGAATTCCGGCTGCTTTCGCGCAGCTTCGCTTCGCAGCGCTGGGCAATTACGGATTTGACCTTTCGGGGCAAAAAGAAGTGGCGGAAACCCTCAAGAAAACCGCCGCCGAGCAGCGGATCAGCTTCCTGGTGAGCCCGGGCAGCAACTTTCCCAACGGCGTTTCGGGGGCCAACGACACCAAGTGGGAGGAAATGTTCGAAGAAGTTTATTCTGACGAAAAAGGCTCTTTAAGAATGCCATTTTTGACTGTTCTTGGCGCTGAAGACTGGTCTGGCAACTACACTGCCATGCGCGAGAGAACTGATCTGGTCTACGGCGACGGCTCTTCGGAAGAAACTGTCTCAAACTCCCCCAAGTGGACTTTGCCCAACTGGTGGTACCACTACGCAGTCCACTTCACAGCTTCCACAGGTTCGTGCTTTTGCATCTCTGCTGCTGCTGCTGCTGCTGCTGCAGCTGCTGCAGCAGCTGCAGCAGCTGCTGCAGCTGCTGCAGCAGCTGCAGCAGCGCGTCTGTCGCTGCAGCAGCACCCCCGCTGCTGCTGCTTCCGCCGTCTGCAGCGGCCGCGCTGCCGCCCGTTGTTCGCCCCGCGGCGCGTTTGGCCGCCGCGGCTGCTGCCGCTGCTGCTGCTGCTGCTGCTGCTGCAGCGCGTTTGCTGCTGCTGCTGCGCTGCTGCTGCGCAGGGAGCGCGTTTCTGAGCTCGGGGCACAAAGACATGAGCGTGGGGCTGGTGTTCATCGACACTTGGGTCTTGTCTTCTGCTTTTCCCTTCGGAAGCGTCACTGAAAAGGCCTGGCAAGACTTGGAAAGGACTTTGCAAATTGCCCCCAAAGTCTTCGACTTTATTCTCCTCGTGGCCAACAGGCCCCTCTACAGCAGCGGCAGCTCCAAGGGCGACTCCGCGCTGCAGTATTACGTGCAGCCGCTGCTGCAGCAGGCCGGAGTCGACGCCTACATCTCCGGCTACGACCACGACATGGAGCTCATTCAGGTGCTGCTGCTGCTCTTTGCTGCTGCTCTTTGCTGCTGCTCTTTGCTGCTGCTCCCTTGCTGTTGCTGCGCTGCTTTGCTGCTGCTGCTAAGCTGCTTTGCTGCTGCTGCTAAGCTGCCTTTGGCCTGCTGCTCACTTGGGCCTGCTGCTGCACTCGTTTCGTCCTGCTGCTGCACTCGTTTTGCCCTGCTGCTGCATGGATGTTGTGTTGCTGCTGCACTGGTTCTGTGTTGCTGCTGCATGCGAACAGCGGGATTGGCTGTGGCCTGGGCTGTTTCTCACAGGCTGCAGTACTTGAATGGGTTGTGTGCAGCTTGCGCTGCTTGGCTGCTGTTTTTTGCAAATTAAATTAATTAATTTAAATAAAAAACTGAAAATTCCCCTTTTTTATTCTCAGGAAGAAGACATCTCTTACATCAACTGCGGAACCGGATCTGTTTCCGGCTCGTCCGCGCTGGTGACCGCCTCGGGCTCGAAGTTTTTCAGCGGAGAAAAAGGCTTTTGTTTGTTTGAACTGACAGCTGACGGACTTATTACGAAGTTCATAAATGGAGCCAGTGGAGAAGTTATGTTTGAACACAAACAGCCGCTGAAGAGCCGGCCGGAGCGTTCAACCGTAAGTCGAAACTGAGGTGTACGTACACCCGAACTGCGCGCGCAACGCGCGGCGCCGCAGGCGCGGCTTCCTGGACGAAAGCTGCGTCATTATTTGATATTTATTTATTGTTTTGCATTTTTTTTTCTCAGATTGACCAGTTCAACTACCTCAGCGAGATGCCGGAAGTGGCTTACTACCCCGTCCCGGAAATGGGAAAGCTGCCCGGCAAAGACGTGTTCGTGCGCGTGGTCGGGACCATTGGTCTTTGCATTTTGACTTTTTTGGCGAGTTTGAGCCTCGCAAGTGGCATTTCGCGGGCCATGAAGTGAAGAGAAATTGCAAATTGCTTTAGTGCTTTAGAGCCTGGCGGGCGGCGCAGCCAAGTGCTGGACTTTGCGTGAAGTCCGACGCAAAAACTGCGAAAAACGAAAATGCAGAACTCCAGTCCTTTCCGTCCCAGCACAGCTTCCGGGTGTACGTACACCCCAGCGCACTGCCCGCGGTCCGGCTGTTCGTGAAAACTGCCACTTCTTTCTTTGCGCCTTTTAATTTCTGCACAAACTCTCCAGCTCTGAGCAGCGCCAACTGCTGCAAAAGGCCTTTGAAATATATTTAAATACATTTAAATACATTTAAATATATTCAAATACATTAAAATACATTCAAATATATTTAAATACCAGCAGCGCATGCCTACTTTCTGCACCAGCGAGCTGTCTGTACACCCTAGCCTACGCACTAGTCCGTCTCGAATAAATCTTTTCTAAAAGTGGCGCTGCGGCCCGCATGCAAATTTGAGCGGCAATTTGTTGAATGGAGTCACAGAAGTCACACTGTGTACGGCGAAGTGGCCTTCAGAACAAGTTGCGCAGCCTTGCTGCTGCTGCTGCTGCTGCTGCTGCAGCTGCTGCAGCAGCAGCAGCAGCTTCCCGGTGCAGTTCGTGTGCTGTGAAGAAGAAAACTCCCACTTGGAATTGCTGGCGCTGAGACCCTCGGGCTCTGGCTGTGCACGCGCGGGGCAAGAAAGTGAGGAAGAAATCTTTTGCACAAATGAAGACACATAACAGATGTGCACTGCATGCGCGCAGGTGTACGTACACCGCGGCACAGTGTGCAGACTGCATGCGCGGCGCTGCGGTGTACGTACGCGCAGAACGCAGCAGTCCGCGCAGCACAAAGTGGTTTCATTTCACATAAATTAATTGAACTGGAGCCCAATTAAAAACAAGAAAAGAGACAGAGACAGAGAGACAGACCGGCCTTTGTCTTGTCTTGCAGTTGCAACTTTTTTAATTATTTTTTAAGTTTTCTCCCTTCCGCTACTCACATGGAATTAACTGCTTAAACAGAAACAAAAAGACAAACTCAAATTATGTCTTGCCACTCTCATCGCTTTCTGCCTTTCTTTTTCTTATCCGACCCCGAACACATCCGTTTCCTGCAAACGCTGCTGCTGCTGCTGCTGCTGCTGCTGCTGCTGCTGCTGCTGCTGCTGCTGCTGCTGCTGCTTCAGGAGCACATCTTGGCTCTTTCTAAAAGGCTTTTCGGCAGCTGCAGCTCCGGGTGGAATCTTTGCATTTCCCTCAAGAACCCCAAGCTGCAAAAGCAGACAAAAAGAATTTAAATTTTAAAAATAAAAATAAAAAAGAGAAAACAAATTTGAAACAAAAGAAAAAGAAATCTGCAGCAAACTCAGAAAGGAAACAAAACTGAAATGACCAGGCGTGCAGCTCTGCAACTCTGATGATAAGTTTTAAAACACGAAAATAATAAAATTGAAAATAATAAAATTGAAAATAATAAAATGTAATTGAAGTTTAAATTAATTCAGTCCTTAATTTAATTTGCAAATCCAAACAATTCAAAAACTCACCGCAGCTGCGGCTCGTCCATATTTGCCCAGTCGTTGAACGGCAGCCGCACTTTCTCGGTGGCCGTGACCTGCAGCAAAATAAAATTAAAAAAAAAAAAGAAATTTGAATTAAAATAATTAATTCTTTTTTGACAAAAGAAAGCACATTAATAGTCGATTTGAAGACAAGAAACCAACAAAACCAGCAGGTCGTTCAAGAACAAAAAATGAAAAAAGCGGAATAAAAAAACACCAAATGAAAGAAATAAAGAAACCAGAAAATGAACAAATATAATCAAAAATACAATCAAACAAATACAACTTCATGGGGAAGCAAAGAACGTGGGAACTTCTGGAGGTCTCTGGAAAGCTGAACAAATAAGTGGAAGAATAAACAAAAAGCCAAACAAATAAAAGAAATAATAAAATGTAAACAAATAAAAGAAATAATAAAATGTAAACAAATAAAAGAAATAATAAAATGTAAACTTGCCTCTATACTTGGGTTTCTGACTCCTTTGAAGAAAGGATGGGCAAGACATTCATCAACAGAAATTCGCCTCTTGGGGTTGAAGACCAGCATGCGCTTCAGGAGGTTCAAAGCCTCAGCTGCAGCGAAAAACAAAACAAAATAAACAAATTAATATTTAAAATAAAAAAATAATTAAAATTTATTATTATAAACAGTTTTATAATTCCAAATTGTGGAGGCGAGTGAAGAGAAGTTGAACTGCAATTCAGATCGGACTTGAACTATTCAAGTTTCTCGGCTGCTGGGGCGTTCTGTGCAGCAACTTCGCGAATAAAAGAAAAAAAGAAATATTTTAAATGTTTTAATTGGAAAATTAAAATAAAAAATAAAAATAAAGAAAATAAAAACTCCAAACTCACGCGAAGACGCGGAGAAGCGCTCGGCCAAGTCGTGGGCCTCCTTCGGCGGGAAAGTCCGAATGTACTGTTTGGCCTCGTTGGACTCCAACGCGTTTATTTCTTCTTCTGTTGGAGTTCCCAAAACATTAAAGATTACATTAAGTTGGTCTTTGTTGCCTCGCGTCTGCAGCCTGCGGCCGGCAGCAGCACTTGTGCAAATCTCCACTTTTCCAGTTCTTGTTTGCAAGTTTCGCGAGAATAAATGCAATTATGGGCTCATTTAGGTATTAAAAGCAGAAAAATAAAATACTAAATCTTTTTTGGAAAAGAAAATGAATTAAAAAGAGAATCCGGGGAAGTTTTGCTGCTGCTGCAGCAGCAGCAAGCACCAAGAGGTCGGAAAGCGCTGCAGCAAACTGCGCGAAAGCGAGCAAAGCCGCAAGACTGAAGGAAGCGGAGAAAGCGAAAAAGTTTGAAGTCGGAAAGTTCAATAAAATGAAATTCAAAGAAGTTGGAATTAAATGCATGCAGAAAACAACTGGAAATCCTCAAAGAAAGTCTGAAGTCGGAAAGTTCAATAAGATGAAATTCAAAGAAGTTGCAATTAAATGAATAAAGAAAAAGAACTGGATATCCACAAAGAAATAAAACTTCAAGTCGGAAAGGTGAATAAAATATAATTCAAAATAGTTTGAATTAAAAGAATATAAAAAAACAAAGACAGTCGCAAGTGCTCGCCTGGAGTCATCTCCGTTTTTCTGATCTGGAGAAAGCGGAAAGCAAGAAGAGCCAGGAAAGAGGGGCCCCCTGTCGCAGTGGGACTCCACGTTTTCTTCCTGCAAAAAATAAATTAATTAAATTCAAAAATAAACTGAAAAACTAATTCACAGACCCGGAAATGCCGCCAGGCCAGGCGCAGCAGCAGCAGCAGCAGCAGCAGCAGCAGCAACGCAGCAGCAGCAGAACAGGGACTCGGGGATCTTCACTCAAAAGCACAAATGAAGGTTTAATTGAATTAGACAAACTTTCAAACAAACCCTTGAATAAACGCTTAAATAAACTTCAATGGAATTAAACGAACTTGTGAATGAACTTTAAAACAAATGGATTAAAAATGGACTAAAAATGGATTTAAAATGGAATAAAAATGGAATAAAAATGGATTAAAAATGGATTAAAAATGGATTTAGAATGGACTTAAAATGGATTAAAAATGGACTTAAAATGGATTTAAAATGGATTAAAAATAAATTAAAAATGGAAAAGACATTAACTGCAACTCACAATCATTGACAACAGCTCCGAGAAAATGCAGCCAATAGACCAGACGTCGATTGCCTCTGTGTAGTTCTCGGCCAACAGAATCAACTCCGGAGCCCTATACCACCTGCAGCAAAATAAATAAAACGTAAATAATAATAATAATAATAATAATAATAATAATAATAATAATAATAATAATACTATTATTATTATTATTATTTAAATTCAAATTCAAACATGTGCAGCAACAGGGGAAGTGCTGCAGCGAGCAGCAGCAGAACAAGCAGCAGACCCAAGCAACGCAGAACCCAAGCAGGCAGAATCCTGTAGACTTCTGCTGCTGGCGCTGCTGCCGCCGCCGCCGCTGCTGCTGCTGCTGCTGCTGCTGCCGCTGCTGCTGCTGCTGCTGCTGCCGCTGCTGCTGCTGCTGCTGCTGCTGCTGCTGCTGCTGACCTGGTGACGACGTGGCCAGTGAGCTGGCGCTTGAGGTTTTTGGTGTGAGTAACATTCACAATGTCGTCGTCTTGCTGCGCAACTGGGCAGTGGCTGTTGTGGCCCTCGGGGAAGTCCATAGTCCGCGCCAAGCCGAAGTCGCAGACCTTCACGCTGCAGTCCTGGTTCACCAAGCAGTTCGCAGGCTTCTGCAGCAGCAGCAGCAGCAGCAGCAGCGGCAGCAGCAGCAGCGGTGGGGGAAGAGTCGACGGGTGCGGAGGGAGTGGCGCAAGCGATCAGCTGGAGCAAACGCAGTCCGCAGCCGCAGCAGCTGCAGCAGCTGCAGCAGCAGCTGCAGCAGCAGCAGCAGCAGCAGCAGCTGCAGCAGCAGCAGCAGCAGCTGCTGAACCTCATTTAAAAGCAATTCAATTTGCATTTCTTCTTTGGTCTTTTGTTTCTCACGAGATCGCGGTGCAAGATTCCAGCGGAGTGTACATATTTAACGCCAACGAGCAAATTGTACAAAAGGGTTTTGATGTGCAGCTCCGTCAGATACACCGGCGCCCGAAACAGTTTCTTGAAGTCCGAGTCTGCGATCTCCAGCACGACATACATTTCCTGAAAGAAAAACAAAAACAAAACCAAAAAAAGGAAATTCAAAAGAAATAAAATCGAAAATTAAAACTTCGTTCAAGTCCCGCAGCTCCGCTGTGCAGACACCGCAGCGCGCTCCCCGCCGGCAGGCGGAAACCGGCGGGAAAGCGCCGGCAGTTTCTTTTTTATTTGAAAATTGTGCAAAAAAATGAAATTAAAAATAAAAACAAACAAAATTTCGAAGGAAAAAGCGGCGGAAAGCAGCGGATCGCGCGAGCGCACATCAAATTTTTCAAGATCGCTGGGCACGAGGATGTCGAGGATCTTCACGATGTGGTCGTGGTTGAGTCGATTTAAAATGGCAATTTCCCTCAAAATCCTTTTGCAGTCAATTAAGTCTTCGAAGACGCGGTGGATCTTCTTAATCGCGACAATCCGCTGCTCCTGGTTGTCGTACACCTCGCACACGTGGCCTGGCAGCAGCAGCAGCAGCAGCAGCAGCAGACGAAGTTGCTGTTTCAGTGCAGCACATGCGGCGCTAGGAGCTGCGTGTGGGGCCTCGAAAGAAAGCAGACAAGGCAGGAGCGCGGGACGGGCTGGGGTGTCTGTACACCTGAAGCGCGCCGCAGCAGCAGCAGCAGCAGCAGCAGCAGCAGCAGCAGCAGACCTACCGTAAGAACCAGTGCCAATTAAGTGGTGGACTTCGTAGCGCTCTGGCAGCTGCCAGTCAGCCAAGGGGTGGGGCATGCGGGTGGGTTTGACTGCGTGCTGCTGGTTTTTGCGCTGGTGGTCTTGTTCGGGGTGTCTGTGCTGCTGCTGCTGCTGCTGCTGCTGCTGCACGCAGCGCTGCGGCTGCTGGACGGAGCCGCAGGAGGCGGCGTTGGCAGCAGCCTGGGGCTGCTTGGCCGCTGCGGCGTTGGGGGCTCCGGCGTGGCACTGCTGCTGGTAGTAGACGTGCTGCGGGTGGGGCTCGAAGCGCTGCTGCTGCTGCTGCTGCTGCTGCTGCGGGTGGGGGTAGCGCGCGTACTGGTGCTGCTGCTGCTGCAGCTTCTGGTAAGGCGCGTGCGGCGCGCACTGCACGTAGCCCTGCTCCAGCGCAGCAGCAGGCGCCGCGCTCACGGCGCCCTGGGACTTTTGGAAACTCATTACAAAAAACTGAAAGAAGAAGCTGCAGAGTGAAGAGCTGCTGCAGTCACAGCAGCAGCATGGCCGCGGGCGCTGCGCGAGGTCGGCTACGGCGGGGGGCAGCGCGGGGAAAGCAGCAAGTGGCGCATGGAAAGCTGGTGGAAAGCGGAGGAAAAAGACGAAATAAACCACCGAGGTGGACAGAAAAGGACTAAATTAACCTCAATTCCAATTTAAAACCCAAAGCTCCCTCCAGATCGCTCCAAACTTCCAGCTTTCTTCGAGTTTGTGTCAGTGCGGCGCCGGACCGGTCCACTTCACGGCCTTGAGGTGTACGTACACCTGGCAGCCGCCTATCGCCCGCCACCCCCGCGGTGCCGCCAAAACACTTTTTCTCCGGCTTTTTCCCCCCTCCAAAGGCCCAAGTGGAATATTTTTGCAAAACTAAATTCAATTTCTCGCCAAGTCCCCGGTTTCTTCACCAATGTGCCTCGCGGCTGCGCCGCCGCCGCTGCGCCGACAGCCCAGGCACCAGCCGCGATGCCTGAGCGATAGTGACGGGCCAGCACATGCGCCTAGAGCCCCTCAAAAGGCAAAATTGGACTTTTAAAAACAAACAAATTGCTTTATTTGTTTTACTTCAAGACATTTCCGGAGAAACGGCAGCGCCAGATGTGGCTGGGATGCGAAGCCGCCTGTTGCCATGGGGGGCTGCGGACTCGCCGCTGCTGTCCGGGCTCGCCGCCGCAAACTCCCCTCGATCCGCTTTTGCTGCTGCAGCAAGCAGCAGCAAGCAGCAGCAAGCAGCAGCAAGCAGCAGCAAGCAGCAGCAAACTGCCCGCGCCCCCCCGAAAGCCAACACTGCCCAGACCAGCAGCTGCTGCAGTGCCAGGCGATGCACCCGGCGCTGCTGCGCCCTTTCCGCAGCCGAGAAGCCAACGCGAGGCCTTCAACAGCTTCCTCTCCAGTTTTTAATTCAAATAAATGCATTTGAAGACAACTCTGCAAAGTCCGCAGCGCCAGCCCCCTCGCCGCGGTGTATGTACACCTGGGGACTTGGGGGGGTTGCGCAGGGGGGGCCTCCGTAGGCCCCAAGCCCTTCGAGCTGGACATACACTCCAGGGGCTCCAGTGGCTTCTTTTAATTTCTTTTTTATTCATTTAAATACTTTTTTCTTTTGCTTCTTTGCTGCGCCTCTCCCGCGGGGCCGCGGGCTGCAGCAAACCCCAGGTGTACATACACCCCAGCTCCTGCCCCCTTTCTTCGCCCCCACAACCCCACGCGCTGCTGCTGCAGCACTTGGGCAATTCAAGCAGCAAAACATGCAGCAGCAGCAGCAAGCCTTGGGGGCCCCCCACCCCCTTCTGTCCACAGTGTCTGGGGGGCCCCCGGGCTCCTTCTAGGCAGCAAAAGTTAGCCAGTTAGTTCAGTTTAGTCCTAAAAGAACTTTTTAGATCTCTGGGGGCCCCCCAGCAGCTCCAAAGGCCACTAAATTACTCCAAGTGGCCATTTAGTAGTTAAGGCCTCCCCCAGCGGCTCCCAGCCCTATTAGCGCTGCGAGCTGCCTTCCCTGCTGCTGCTGCTGCTGCTGCTGCTGCTGCTGCTGCTGCTGCTGCTGCTGAGCCCTTGCTGTGGACCGCTGCAGTGTGTAGCCCCCAAAGGGGAGGCCTGAGGGGCCCCCGTACCCTCTTTGGGGGCCCTGGGGGGCCCCCCGAGTTCCGCAGTTGCTGCCACTTCTGCTGCTGGGGGCCTCTGGGCCCCTGGGGGGCCCCCTGCAGCAGCAGAAGGCTTTCCTTTTAGACTGAAGGGGGCCTCGGGGGCCCCCTGCATGCAGGGGCCCCCATTGTTGCTGCAGGGGGCCCCCTGGGGCTAATAGCTGCAGCTTTTGCTGCCAAAAGGGCCCCCAGGGGCCCCCAAGTCGCCACTTTTGCTGCTTAGAGGGCCCCCAGGGGGCAGCAGCAATTTGCTGCAGTTTAAAAAAGGCTTGGGGATTAAAAGCTGCCACTTTTGCTGCTCCAAAGTCTTAACAGATTCCTGAAATGCCACTCGGGCTGCGCTGCTGCTGCGGCCATCGCAGCCGCTGCAGGAGCTGCAGCAGCAGCACAACAGCTGCTGCTGCAGCTGCTGCTGCAGCTGCTGCTGCTGCTGCAGCTGCTGCTGCAGCTGCTGCTGGGACTAGCTAGAGTGAAGGCCTGCTGCTAAATCCCCTCATGCGGATAGCTGCTTCTAACGCTAATTCAAACAGCCGAATTTCACGGAGACCCTGGGGCTTTCTTTTAATGCATGCATGCATGCATGTATTCATGCATGCATGCATGTATGCATGCATGCATGCAGTGTTCATGTATTCATGCATGCATGCATGTATGCATGCATGTATGCATGCACGCATGCATGCGTGCATGCATGCATGCATGCATGCAGTGTTGGACTCCCTTCAGGCCACTTTGGGGCATCAAATTGGACTTCAACTAAAAAGCTCGTTTGGGGCTTTTCACTTCCCCTTAAGACACCAATGCATGCACAGCAGCAAATGCCTCTCAGGGGCATTGGGCACTTCCCCCAATATGCGCTGCTGCAGCAAAGGCTCCTGGGGCCCTCTGGGGCCCCTAGGGGCCCCCTGGGGCCCCTTGGGGCCCCCTGGGGCCCCTTGGGGCCCCTTGGGGCCCTTTGGGGGCCTCCTACGGCCCTTGAAGACCCAGGGGCCCCCAAAGGACCCACTGGAGGCCCCCTGGGCCTTCTTGGGGCCCCCTGGGACCCCTCAGGGGCCCTCTGGGGCCCCCTGGGGGCCCCCTGGGGGCCCCAAGAACCCTTTTCTTGAGGACTCTGCCGCTTTTCTGTAACTGTTGAAAGGCATGGAGCCCAGCACTGAAAAAAGTCCTTTAGGAAATTTTTAGGAAATTATCTTTTGGAGTTAAAGAAAGAAACAAATGAAAGTTTCGGGACAATCAAATGAGTCAGCTGGTGAAAATGAGGCAGAGGCAGTAGTGGGGAAGCAAACAAAGAACATAAAAAGAAAAAGGAAATAAATAAAGAATAAATGCACAGAACAAATCCCAGCAGGCTCTGTACGTACACCCCGTGGGGTGTACGTACAGAGGCTCCTGGGCCAGAGAGAAAAGCAGTTTGAAGAGAGTTTGCATTTATTTTTTTCAAAGTTTGAAAAGTTTGAACTTGTTGTTTATTTGTTTATTTTTCTTTCTGAGATTTGAAGCCTCCAGCTGTGCAGCCATGCACTTCTGAAGACCCGCTGCTGCGTTTTTGGCATTTAGTTGGTCAAAAATTATTATTTTTGTTTCATTTATTTCTCAAAAAAGAAAAAATGAAATAAAGAAAGGTTTTATTTGCTATAAAGGGGAAATGGAACAAAGAGAGGCTTTTTCTGTTCTGGCAAAGTGCAGCTGGAATGCTCGCCTGTTTGTTTGCCTCAGTTCAGGTGTACGTACACCTGAACTAAGTCAAACAAAAGAAAAAAGTGCAATTTCAGTTTTTATTTCTGCACTTTTGTTTCATTTATTTTGCAAAAGCAAAGCCAAATGCAGCCCCCAAGATCCCCCGCGGGCACTGGAGTTGCAGATTTGCTTTCACTTCAACTGCATGCATGAAATAAATAAATCAAATTAATTAAATGGAATAAATTAAATAATAATATAAATGTTTTCGCAGATTGAACAACAGATCTGCACGTTTGCTGTTCACCGTATGTTTGAAGTGTACATACACCTCAGAGCACAGCGCGCATGCATGCAACTTCACTTCAAGAACAAAATAATCATTTTAATGTTTTATTGCATGCAAAAACATTCATTTTTCTCCTATTTGCATGCAAAATGCCAAGGTGTCCAGGAAAAGTCTTTAAAAATTGTAAAAGTCTTTTAAATGGACCAAAAGTCTTTTAAAATTATAAAGTCTTTTGTGCGGAAATCGCGCAGCTCTTTTGTGCCCAGAAACGCCATACATGCCATATCCCTGCAAGCTATTAATATCTATAATATAAATATATATTACATGTATAATGTATATATAATATAAATACATATTATATATATAATATATATATATATATATATATATATATATATATATATATATATATATATATTATGTACATATAATATGAATATATATTATAAAGTATATATAATATATATATATATATTATATTGTATATATTTGTAATATATATAAATATATTCATTTGTACTTTTAGAGGTAAAGATATATTGATAAAGACACAAAGACACATATGTATGTAATATGCATGCATGTAAAGATATCCATATATACACATATATATATATATATATATAAATTTATATATATATACATATATATATAAATATAAATATATATATATATATTTATATCTTTATAAAGATATAGAGAGTTATATAAAGATGGAGATAAAGATAATTATAAATACAGAGATATACAAATGCACAAATATATATAAACACTTTAGTAAAGGGATAAAAGTAGAAGTAGAGACATAAATATATAAACACAAAAACGTATAAGTATATAAATAGATAATATATATAATATATATATAATATATATAATATATATTATATATATATTATATATATACATATATAAAGTTTATTGAAAAAGATAGATAAAGAAAAAGAAATGAAGTGAGAGATGCAGAAGCAAAAAGACACTTGAAGAACAAACAAAAATGAAAAAGAGGTGTACATACACTCAATTGAAACAGAAATTAAAAAAGAAGACAAAATTTAAATAATTTTATTTTCCAGAAATGCTAAAAGCCACATTCAGTGGATTTGCATGTGAAAGGGCCTTCAGGCAATAATAACCCAGAGACACACAAACAGCAGCGCAGCAGCAGCAGCAGCAGCAGCAGCAGCAGCAGCAGCAGCAGCGCAGCAGCAGCAGCAGCAGCAGCGCAGCAGCAGCAGCAGCAGCAGCGCAGCAGCAGCAGCGCAGCAGCAGCGAAAAGAGAAGCAGCAGCAGCCAGCAAGAAGAGCCCGTTTCGGGGAAAGAGTTAATTTGGATTT